AACTTAATTTGGATTTACATCAACTAGATTCTGCGAATTGAATGAGAGGTTTAGCTTTCTATCAAATCACTTAACTCAAGTGAGAACGAGAGAAATATGGAAGAATTCGAGAGAAAGTAAAAATAAAAATTCATATTAAGAGTCAAATTTCAAAAACTCAAAGTATCAAAATTGCACATACTAATTCAGAACCGTATAAGTCTATTTATAGGTTCTAATTAACATAAACCAAATGGCCTAAATTTAGGCCTCAATCATATCTAAAAGCTTAAATACAATTATTAAATAATAAGGGTCCAAATGCAATCCTACAACAAGATTTAATAAATCTACCTCAACATCAAATAATTAGAGAAAATAGAAAGCAACTCTAAATCCATGGATGTAGCCTTATAGGATATATGTTATGATGGAGTAACGATTTCAATGAATTATTCCTATTATCGCATATTTTCATAAATGGAGTTGGTAAAACAATTTTACAAGAGTTAAGTATTTGACTTCAGATGAAGCAATGGATGTAGCCTTATTGCAGCAACATCAAGTTTGAAGGCACCCTTAGTGTCTATTTGTATAAATTTAAAAACGTGGTTAGTCAAATCTTAATCACATTATAAAAACTCAGTTCATCTTAATCACGTTATAAACTCAGGTCAACGCCAACAATTTATTTTATCTTTCTACGATAGGGTTTGAAATGTCTAAGAAGCTCCAACAGGTTTACAAATAGCCCTTCATTAATTGAATCAAAATCCTTAAATGTAAGAGGTATATTTTGTTAATTTTACGGTAAGAAAAATCACGTTGGTATGTGTACGTATAAGTATAAATATACTCTTAACTTAATAACATTATACCATTATTTTAACAATATTTAAACCTGAAAAGTCATACTTCAGTGTGGTATGTATCTAAAATGAATTTTACTATTATCTAAATAGGATTTATCATGTTAAAATTACTTTTCTAGTAAATGCTTTTAAATATAAATCAATTCACTCAAATTCTCTTTTAACTAAAGTCAGCTCTACAAATCAAATTAATCCAGAACTAAGTTTATAAAATGCGTTTAAAAACACAACAAAAATACTATTAACTTAAATTAAATACAAAAATTATAATTAATAGTATTGATATAAACAGAAATCCATAAAATTTTGAAAGCGAATCCAAACATACTAAAATTCTAATACAAATAAATGTGACGTCTAACTGTTATGCCTATCATGGAATTATTTATCATGTTTTATTTGGAAAGTTTTCAATTTTTTATTTTGATATAATTGTATATTGTTAAAAAAATAACAATATTACATTTTTAGTGTAAAATTCATTACTATACATGCTATGAAAATTCCAAAAGAATAACGTAAATATAAAAATATTTTCATTGTAAATAATATAATAACTCACTGCACTTCATAACCATAATATATATAATAATAATTATGATTATGTCATGCCAAAAATAAATTGGATCTAAGAGAAAAAAACGAAGTTTGACCTGGAAATGCATGTGCACTGCTACTCTGCCTATATATTTTATGTTTCCCATCTTTTTCTATATTATCACTTCAAATGGACAAAGAAAGAGCTGAAAGCATTTTCATCCACAAATTTAAAAAATTCATAATTTTATAGCACTAATTCAAATTATCAAAACATAGAATAATAGTAATACAAGACATCAATCATTATTTTTTGTGAGTAGACATAAAACAAATATCTATTGAGTATCTTTTGCTTGAAATTTAAGCATATGTTGATTAGATTTTGACACAGTTAAACATATTCTGAGTGCTCTGACAGTGAATATCTTCCAAATATGTTGGATTCCGATAAGATTTTAACGTTAATGAAGATGGTATCTATTCTCTTTTTGCTTTTGTTCTTCGGACCAATTCATGGAAATAATCAAATTCAGCAATGGTGGGCGATGGAATCTACAAGTTGGACTTCCATTTTTTTTCTTTGATTGCAACTATTTGTTCGTTGAATAGAATCCAAGTCCTTGAGCCTATGTTTACTTTTCGGCTGAGTCACTTTCTAAGTTGGAAATTTTGCAACAATTTTCCCCTCACCAACTTTGGTTATAAAATTATTATTAAATTGAATAGCATTAAAAAAACAACATATGTTTTTACTTAAAATCAATATTATTTGCCCAACCATATATTACTATTTTAATACAAATTTTAAGGATACGCTTATATATTCCTATTCACTTGTTAGAATTTAAACTTTTAAAAGTGAGAATAATTAATTTACGAATCCTGCTATTAGTATGAAAGCCATTTCTATTAATTTTACGCAGGAGATTTTTTTTTTCTTTAAAAAAGATAAATTTGTTAATGAATGACACAATTTATTAAGAAAATATGCATTTAGAAGAAAAATAATTATATAAATAATATGTTCAAATCCTAAAGTAACTGTTGTAGGGTAGGTTTTATCTAATCAAATATTTATTGTCACATTAGAAATCATTTATTAATGGAAAAAAATTTAACTACGGATCGTTAAATATTTTTAGTATTATTGTTTAACAAAATTAAAATTTCATTTTTATAATGCATAACAATATTAAATACAAATATTTTATATTGGTGTGTAATCATCATTCTTGGCGACGCTATTTAAATATTCTTTTTCAAAAATTGTTTTTAGAACTAATTTAATTAAAAACATTTTAAATAAAAATAAGCACATGAGATAATTAATATGTGCTTTAAAAATAATATAAAAATATAAATTAAATTACTTTAAAAGCAATTTTGACGAGAGTTATTAAGAAAATAATTCTTATCAAAATTACTCTGTAATAATTAGAATAACTTATCACCGCTTATATAAAAAATAAATTGAAATTATAGTTAAATTAAAATAATAAAAAACGACATTAATTCTACTTTACCAGTTTTTAAATCATAATCATTTTGATGTCCGATAACACTTTAGGTTCTTTCTGTCTTCTATAAAACATGTTTAGACCTTTATAATGTAATTAATATTCCATCATTATTATTTAAATACTTATATTTACACGAAAACAAATGCCTCATACATGTAAGTAACTAAAGTCTAGGTTTTATTAACTAAAATTCTAGAATATTGATAAAGAAATTAAAATTAATTTTTTGAAAAATAAAAACATCTTCAAAATCGTGGCTAACATTGATCATTCATTCTTTTACATGTTATTTTTCCCTTGTTTATTTATTATATCTCTAATTTGCGGCTGATACACAAAATAAACATGCAAAGGAGCTTTTCGCTAACATTTTGAAGGTGGTGAAATCACCATAATAAACACCTTTTGGCATTATTGTGGAAATCTAAGCCATTCACCAAAGATATCTAAGACTTATTGGTAGGGCTTGAGCACCCCATTCCTTCTTATCTTTAATATTAAATAATAAATATTGAGATATGAGTTGGAAATTAAATATTTTATAATTTTTTAAATAAATATAGAAACTTATTCAATTCTTTTTTACTGCGTTATGGCCATTGAATAAGACAGAAAAATCTTTTTAAATAAATCTTTGTTATTCTTCCATATCCATCAAGTGGGGGAGACAATCACATCCCTCATAAAGTTAACTTCAAATATTTTTATTAAAATAGTAAAACGATGGGATATGTTCCCTTTCTATCAACCAAACAAAAGAACCAAGTAAAGGAGACGTATGAATAATGAAATGAAAGTGCAATTGATGAGATCGACGTGAAAGTTTCTCCCATCATAATAGAGAGGAAGGAGAACAATGCACACTAGTCTTAGTCACATAATTCTCATATATACTAAATACATGATTGGGAAATTTTAATTAAGTAATTATAACTATAATTAAGTCTTTAAAAATATTTTTATTTAGTTTTTTATTAATTTTATTAATTTATTCTATTATTTATTTATATAATAGTCGAGTTATTTTACCTAATTTAGATTAAAAAATTAAATTTTAATTTTAAAATATAAAACTTTATATCATTATTAACATTAATTTTGTGTCATGATATATGAATCTAGTTAGATATTGTTGTATTCACATATAATAAAAGAAATTATACATAAACATTTTTATCTCTTATTGTTTAAACATATACCCATTACAAAAATATTATAAAAATATAAAAGAGAGAACTATAATGGACCTAAAAGTTGTTGATAACACATTTTAAAAGATAATATTAATATAATTACAGTGATCATGATATTGATTTATTAGGAAGCTGAAGCTTTCATTTTCAACCAATCTTATTATTATTTTAAAAAATTTAGTCTTCGAAGTCTTTTCGCAATAAATTTGCATCTCTGACTATTCAAGGTGTCATTCTTTTCCAACCAGACCTTTTCAATGGAATCTGGAAGCATTTGGGAAGGAGATTCGTGTTTTCCATCACGCTGATTGAAATTTTCTGTCATTTATTACCGAATAAAGCTCATTACCACTAAGATTATGAAAATATGTTTTATTCAGATTCAGAATAACTTCTAACAAATTGGATTCCATCATTTCGAAAATTTAATATTAAGATTAATCCATATCTATTTGGATGCAAATGTTGCAATTGGGAATATGTGCACACTTAAATGTATGATTGATTGATGATTGACAAAGAGCGTGGAAGCAACAAATAATTAATTACAACCATTTGATAAGTTTGATGGTTAAGGTATAGACCAAACTTGCTAATCTTCCTAGTAAAATCAGAAAACAAAAATAATCAAATTTTAAACGTAAATTCTGATAGTTCTAACGTTTTGTGTGTTAATTAACCCACTTGCAACCCTTGATAGCACATGATGTTATTCTGTCAAAATCAATTTGAAGTCTTTCAACACGGGACGTTTGTATCAAAAGTAAATTAATGGAACCAACTTGACTTAAAGCTAGATAGAGAAACATGGCCAATCCAAGGCACATGAAAATTATTCTTGATCTCATTTGCAAAATGTGAGATTTTACACTTTTTCTAATTTATGCACACGCTCATTGTTCAACACAAAATCTCACTTGCATTTCTAGTAAATGTAACAAACATAACATTGCATAATTTCATTTCATTGATTGCAGAGTTGCACCAGATTACAGAATTCTCTAATTTGTACAAAAGTTGATGAATTCTGTTGTCTTTCTCTACTTTAGAACACGGCAGCTTTTAGTCTCCTTCCCAACTCCTTCCTGAATAGAAAAAATGACCACTTTTTTGTTAGCATAAAATCTAAGCAAATGCTTCCTATGTCACATATGCTAATAAATTAATGAATAAAAAGTTTTGTTTACCTCATGAGTTGCCTATCAAAGCCTGAAGCAGCTAAGAGCCCTCTATTCTCTTCAGCCCTTCTCAGGAGGTAAGGCATAACCATATCCACTGGTCCAAAGGGCATATACTTGCTAACTTGAAAACCTGCATTGCTCAAACCAAAGGAAAGTGCCTCTGACATTCCATATAGCTGTGCAAATTCTAGCTTGTGGTTCACCTTTCCAATCCCCACTTCATGTGCTTTTGCAGCAGCCAATTGTCCTACACACAACATTTTCACATCATGTAAGACACATGAATCAGGATGCTGAATTTTTTAAGTTGTGCTAGTTATATGTTTTTTTTAATGTATTCTTTATTTTAACTAAAATTTATTAAATTTCTAATTTAATTTTAGTGCATTATTATTGTAAAAAATTTAATATTGTCAACCAATTAAAATACACCGTAGATATGACTTCTATAATAATATATATTAAGTACCTGATTCAATATTATGGGTTGCAAGAACAACTGAGCCAGGTCCATTGGCAATCTTCTCAAGCATAAATGAGGAACAATCATTGAAGCAATTGTGTGTGTCCTGAATGGTATTGTGAATTGGGGAGGCATACCCAAAAGACTCTGCCAATTTACTCTCTGTGGACATGTAAGCACCCCTAACCAATTTGAAGCCCATTGGAACACCCATTTTATCTGCTGCCTTTGTTGCCAGCAACAACCTCTCCTTGGCATCTTTCAAGTAAGTTTGAATGGTTCCAAACACAATTGGGTTGTTGTCCTTGTTGTGCATGATGGAAGAAGAGTATGTGAAGTAATCAATGGCTGGCTGAACCGTAGTGTGTTCAGCATCAACCAACAGAGGAATATTGGCTTCCACACATTTTTGACAAAGTTCAAGTAGTCTTTGGTTGGCAAGTTCAAGATCACTCTCTTCCTCTGGAGTCAGTGGCTCAGGTCTTTTCTGTGTGTGGTACAATGGGCTAGATTCAGCAAATATTGGGAGGGAATCTTGCTTCCATGGCAAAACAAAAGAAGGGTCTTTCTCTTGCCATCTTAATAAATCACTAAGTCTTTCTAGCAATGCCATGGGACATATTGCAGTGATTTTCACAATGACAAAGCTTACCTATCAGATCAAAATTAAATAATTAGAGCCACAAGTTAAACACTACACAACAACAAATAAAAACAAATGAAAAATACAAGCAAACAAGCACATTAACCACATGACCTACCAACAGAAGGCTAAAATAATTGACAATGAAATAATTAAAACTAGTTAGGAAATGTAAAAGAAGAACCAACTCAGCCATGGTCCATTTCAAGCACTGTGACATGACATGGCATTAACTTTTTCCTCCAAGGGCAAAAAATCAAATTTAAACACAAATTTCCAAATTTCATTACTGAGCCAAGGCATGTGAAGAGGCAACAATGGCAAATCTCCAACCCCATTGGCCTTATCTGAGTGGGACCAACATAAGACATCACTCATCATTGCCAAACAAAAATAAAAAAGGGTAGCGTGACCTTAACTGGCATCTCAAGTTGTTGTACTATAGTGCTGATTTGCTGCAATTTATTTATGCATCACTACCCACTTGCCCACTCAATTCACACTCACAGAAAACAACCAAAACTAGCCGCTCCGTACTTACACCATCAGAAGGTCCACACAAACCGTATCTCCTCTACTACATTTTATATAATAATAATAATAATATGGTTATTATTATTAATTTAATTCTATGCACCAGTGACAATACTAATAAAATTAATGATAAAATATTTCTCTCTCTATCAAAATATATTAAATTTTAATTTAGAGCATTTATGATCTCTGTTTTTTTGTAAAAAATAAAATACTATTTTTAAAACAAAAATCATACATACTCTTAGTCTCTATAAAACTATTTTTTTACCGTTACATTTTGAAAAATTATAAATTTTAATCTTCGGTTAATGTTAAATGATAATATGACTCAATCAAATATTGACATCTCGTGAAACTACATCAGTTAAAAACATTTAAAACTTGAAAGAATGTAAAGATTAAATATAAAATATATATATATATATATATATATATATATAAAGGGTAAAATAAAAAATTAATATATTTTAAAGAACTAAAATATATTTATGTCTAAATTTAATGTCACTACAGTCACAGTGAAAATACTGTTTTGAAGATCCTAAATATTCTGAAATAACAATCATAATTGCAGTTTGAAACCTCGTGCAAAATGAAACATTTAAAAAAATTGATTATTAAAATAAAAGCTATACGAAAAGGAATTAACAATGGATCACGAGTGAAGAAGTGCTTACAGAATTCAGAGGAAGCGATTTGCTAACATCAACGGTGTGAAGGAAGCCTTTAAGGTTTCTGTCACATCCATCGTTATCATGCGCATCTTCCACCCCATAAACCAGCATGCCACGTAAGCCAGCGTCGTTCAGAGCCCGAATGCTCCTTCCGGCGTCGGCGGCATCTTCGCCGGCGCAAAAGTGCTCGTAAAACGTCTTGCGCGTTGTGGACATAACCAGATCCTTCAACACTCCCGTTTGGAACAGCTTCGACTTCATCACCCACATTCCCAAATCAACCATGGGCCCCACCGCCGTCGCATGCAGGACGGCGGAGGACCGGAGGAGCCTCGCAGTCGACACAGATGAGAACAGCCTTGCGGGGTCTTCCAAGTTAAGCGCGGCGGAGGAGGGAGCGTGATCTACGGCGGAGGACGGTGGCTTTTCAAAGATCGAGGGCGGGGCGATCACCGTAGTGAGGGTGGGTTGATCGTAGTTGAGTGGCTTGGTTGTGGTGTTGTAACGAACCTTCTTGAGAATTCTTGGAGGGATAACACGGGTTGCCATCAAATGTTGAGGATCACAAGGTTTTGATGACAACGATGATATCTTTTTTGTTCTCGTTAAGGTTGAAGAGGTTGAGGAGGTTAAAGAGGTTGATGGTTTTTTTTTCTCTCTCGAGTGTGCAAATGATGTAAAATGTGGTTTGGTTGAAGTGAGGGTAGGGGGGGGTTTATAGGCGCCAACGTGACTAATTGGGTCGGGTTAACAAAGGAAAGTACAACACTACAATGTTAAGTTGGGTAAGTGCATGGTGCGTGTGATAAGATTAGAGTGGTCAACTTGACTATATTTTTATTCTTGGTAATCATCTTTTATTTTCCCTTATAATAGTTATCTTTTCCTTTTTTTACACTTCATTTTCATATAAAAAAAGGATAGAGATAAATGTTTCCATAAATTATAATTAAAAATTAAGAAAATTGTATTGGGTACGTATTTCTGAGTTGGTAAGTTAAAAGAGGAAATTGGGATGCATGAATTGAGGGTGGAAAGAGTAATAAAATGGGGTGGGAAATAAAGAGATGGAAAGAGAGGAGAGTGGTTGGAAGGTGCTATATTCACGCATGGAGATAGTGTCTTGCAATAATAACATAATGGTTTGAGAGTGAAACATGTGTGGTGTTGAATGCCACGTAGATATGAGTTGGCTAAAGGAGTCGGTGGAATACAAATTGAGGGAAGAGAAGGGCTTGCGTGGATCCACGGTATCATGTTCTTAATTTAAGATGATCTTGTCGTGAGCTGTGTCCAGCACCATAGGATGAGTCAACCATCGCAAATTCAAACACCAACGAAAGACAAATAAATATTAAAATAATTGCCTTTCATTATCTTCGCACTATATCTGGAATATCAAGATTCTGAACGAGTCTATTCAAATTCCTACATCCACTGCTGCTTTATCAGGAAACTTTCATTCAAATAGAATCTCAGATTCTGTATTTTTAAAACATGCCCACGTAATTCATTTCCTTCATGGAAAATCAAATCGTTCAATCCCATTCGTTTTCTCAAACTTCAATCTTATTTTAAACGGATCAAAGTTGCACGTTTTCATTCTACTTTCCTCTCGATCCTTCGTTGTACAAAAAGATTGAATCCGACACCAAATTAATGATTTTATATATGCAAATCTTATTTGAATTTAATATAATAATACAAACTGTATTTAATTTAATTTTAACTCCAAAAATATTTACATTTAAATACAAGTAAAGTACGTGAAAAGCTCGTAATAATGAGATAAATTTTGACTACTGTGGGGACTCTTCTCTGCTACTTTCTAAAATTAGTGGTTTTAGCACCCCTTATCCAAACTCAACACATTAATAACTGTTTTTTTCAATTTAATTTCACATAAAATGCTTAACACATGCTTCTATTATATTGTATTTGTGTTTTTTGAACTTTTTCATATTCCCAGTTTTCATGACTATGATGTGTGTATTTTGGTTCAAAGATATCTAAAAATCAAAGGATTACATATCTGCTGACGTTGCTAAGACACGTTTTATCCATTCCTCTGATTTTTCTTTCTTCATCTTCTAAGAAAAGACATGATAAATTAGGTTGAATTCTAAAAAATGTTAAGTTTATTAATGCTATTACAATTAGCATTAATTAATTAACGTTTATATAATAAAAAATTAATAAATAATATTTCTATTAAAAATTATTATATTAAATATTATTATACAGACTATTTACAAAATAGAATAAAATATTTTAATCCAATCTTACATAAATATCAAAATTGGTACAAGTGTTGCAAAATTGAGACATTTAAGATAATATATAATAATAAATCTTGAATATATAGGTAGCTACTATTTTCCTTAAATCATTTTGTTTTGAAAACTTGCTTTAAGCAAAGGTGTCCTGTTGTATATCCGATGGGTACAGAACAATTGCTCCCCTCTGGGCAACATAGTGCCCACTTGTTCTCTGTCCTGTTTAAGAGAAAAAAAAGAAAGAGGAGCAAATAGCCAAAAAGTACCTACTACATTAACTCAAAATAGTAAGAAAAATAAATAAAAATATGTTTTTCTTTTTTTCTTTTTTTACCAGAATTTATTTATTTTTATTTTATCAGTAACAATTAATTTGTCATCCTAATAAGCTGACAAATTCTTCCTGGACATTATGGAAATTGTTAACATCTTTGATGTTTGGGTCAAAAATAAATAATTAATAATAGTAAAATTTTATTTTAAAAATTTTTTTATAATTTTAACATAATGTGTATATATGCAAAATTTCTATTCATGGGAGTTAAACTCTTAATATATAATTGTCAAGCATGTTATTGGATGTCCAGCAACTTCTTCAATTGTAAGACGATCAACTTCTTTTTATAACAAATACAGTAGTTTCTTCAAAATGCTATTGATAAAAGTAATAAAATTTGTTTTTTTGAAACACTTTTTAATTATTAATTCATTTAGATCACATTGAAAAAATAATTATAAAGAAGTTATAGCAATAATTTATGACTCTCTTAAATTTTTAACTTATTTCAATAAACTTTCTAGTATAATTTATCAAAATAAGCTCATTTTATAGCTTTTTTCAATTAATTTGGTGATCATAATCTTATCCTAAAACTTCATGTGACACGAGCTTAGTAAATAAGTGTCTAATAATTTTTTATTTTTTTTTTATTTGGAATTTTTTTAATCTTTATTGAAAAGTTATTAATTTATCGTTGAAAATTTCATTTTGTAACGCCCCAAGTTTTGTATTACTAATTAATTGTGTGTGTGTGTATATATATGTATATATATATATATATATATATATATATATATATATTGTGTGTGTTTATATATTGGTAGTAAATTGATGTAAATGTAAATAAGTGCAGGTGTGGTGATGTGTGTGTATACGTGCATATAAACTTGTATGCGTTGGGTTGTGGCTGAAATAGGACTGGAAGAAAACAGGTTAAGTCTTGGTGCAGGGCAATTTTGCTATAGCGAGAGGTCCCTGGGAGAAAGACATGTGACTGTTGCCTTCTTGTTGTAGCGAGAGGCGTCTCGCTGTAGCGACAGAGCGACAATTTAGGTTACATTTATGGGTGCAATCTCGCTGTAGCGATAGGGTCTCGTTGTAGCGAGATTCTGCAAAAATCAGAGTGCAGAAATGTCTGAGTTTTTTGCTGTAGCGACACGGTCTCGCTGCAGCGAGCATGTCGCGACCAGAGAAGTATTTGAACGGAATAGGGCTCGAAGAGTGGGGCATTTTCATGATTTTTCCCTTCCCTCTTCCACGATTCTCTCACCCAGCCTATTCCGACCATTTGGGACCCCTCCAAGACGGATTGGAAGCTAGATTGGGATGTGTTTGGAGCTCTTGGAGGTAAGTTCTATGCCTAGGGTTTTGGTTTTCGTCCCTCACTTTCATTTTCTGAGGTTTTCCTTAAGTTCCCTTGGAATTTATGTGTGTTTTAGGGATGAAATTTGTGTGGGGAACCGATTCTACTATTGTATCACGTTGGGTCTTCATTTTTGAGGTAAGGGGAGGACTTTACTCTAATTGTTTTGTTAGGAATAGGTTGATTTGCACGAATATGGTAATGTGGTAAGGAATAAGAAGTGAAACTATGTGTTTTTGATGAATTGTACGAATTGGGTTGAGTCCGAAGGTGTCTAACCTCTGGCATATTGTGTGAAATTGAGTGATGTGATTATGTCGGTTGCCATTGGATGCAAGAAAATGATGTTTGTATGATAGAAATGTGATTGTGAATAAGTTGAGCATGATGTGTGACGATTGTGATGAAATGGTTGATTGTAATACGAATGAAATTGTGTTGACATGCCCTTGATTGAAATTTGAATAATGTGAATGGTTGAAAATGAGTGTGGATGGCATGTTGAATGAATGATGATGTGTTTAAATGTTGGAACTATGAATGGTTCAGAGATACAGTGAGGGTGTGGAAGATGGGGGCGATAGTAATACCTTAGGGAAGAGAGGGTGGTGGTGACACTAACAGTGAGTGTGAGTGCACCACAAGCCACACACTCTCCTACTGACTCGGCCTCTAACTAACACCTTTGCCTGGAGGGCTCAATACTGCACATGTTATATCTATGGAGCGGGAGCTATTCGGGCGACCATCCATAGCATAACTAAGTAAGTCCCTGAGGTTGAGGGCATCAGGAATCTGTGATCATAGTGTTATAGTGAGCGTGACTACGTGTAGTGAGCGCACGTGTGTTTGTGTAAATGCATGGATTTGTAATTGGCTGTCGATGCAGTAAGCGCACCTGTGATTGTTGTTGTGTGCCTTGAGTGAGATAGTTCAGGTGAGTCTTATGCTTGTTCGTGTGCTTATGCTAGAGTAGAAGACTCACCCTTACGCTTATTTTTCAGATAATCAAGACGATCAGCACCGGGCCTCTTGAAGGAAGGATGATGACACTGCTATAGGACTTAGAAGTTTATTTTAAAAATTTAATGTATATTTGAGTCCTATACCAAGCTATGAAATGAACTTGTAATCATTTTCTATTACAAACCATTATATAAAATTGAGTTTTTGAACTACTATTTGAATGAAAACCTCTATTTTGTTAATATTTTTACAAAATTTATTTTATTTAGAAATTATAATTATAAGGTGTTACACATTTCATAATATTTAATTGATTAATTAATCATGATCAAATATTTTTATTATATTAAATTTAAATATAATTTTTTTTCTAAATCACCAAAGTTATTATTGTTTTTAATTCAAAACTTATTATTTAGAGTGTATAATATGATGAATAAGTAAAAGTATTATTAATTTCTAAGTTTTAATCTAATTAAACGTACAATATTAGATACTAAATTATTGATAAAAGTAACATGAAATGTTAAAAAAGGAGAATAAGAGATTGCAAAAAAGAGTTCCAATGAGAAGATCCGATTTTATTTTATTTTTGGGTCAATCATATGTCAAATGAAAAATAAAAAAATTCACATAAAAATAATTAAAAAAATATAATGTGGGTAAAAATCGAATACTTTTCTTTAAGGAAATATTGAAAGATATTTAATACATAAGATTATAGAATAGATGTTGTTGACGGTTATGGGAATGTTATTATTATTATTGAGATACTTTTTCATAACAATAATAATGATTTTTGTTTTATATTATATAAATTCACGAAAATAAAAGTAATTTTTTAGTTTCAGATGTTTTTCCTGTAAAAAGTGACTACAAATTCAAAAACACTCTTTTAAAGATGATAAGAGAAATTGGACCCCTTCCAAAGGAAAAAAAGAAAATCATTAAATTAAAAGTAAATATTATTAAATTAAAAATAAAATAAATATAATTTTTGTGATTTCTAATAAATTTTAATAAATAATTATAAGTATATTAAAAATATATATTACAAAATGTGATACTAACCTTTCTTGTTTAAAAAATAAGCCAGCTCTAGCTTTTCAAGAGGTCAAGCTCAAATTGAGGTTGGGTTACGTTATTTTAGTGTTGAGAATGGGCTACTCTATTAAGCCCAAAAAAAGGTTTCTAATACAAACTGAACTTACCCTTGTTATATTTTCACATTAAAAAAAGAGTAGCAACAAAATAATTTAAATATATTTTTGTGATTAGTTTATATTTGAAAATAAATAAATACATAACTAATAAATTAATATTTTTAAAAAATTTAATAATAAAAAATTGTACTAAAAAGTATGTTTAAAAGAATATATTAGATAACATTCTTTCAAATCATACATCATCCTCTCACAACCTCCTACACCCAAAAAAAAAAAAGAGTAAGTTTTCACAATAATAATAATTAATCTCTTAATAGAAGTACAATCAAACTATGAAATTTTGTGTTTGTTTCTTATTAAGACAACTTTAAAAGGGAAAGAATCATAGATAAAAACGACAAAAACACAGGGGAAATGAAGTTCATCTTAATGTAATATAGTACAATTTGTTGAACAAATGTCAAACGAAAGAGATTGCAATTAGGATAGCCGGCCTCTTAATTTAGTAATTAAAATTATTTTAGTTTCATTTTGTAAGATATATATTGACATATATGTCTCCATTTTTTTCATTCATTCTCCCATTAGGCCTTTTCAGTGTCACTTGTTCGTTGGAGCAAATAGTGTAGCTTTCACTTTGGTGACTGGTGAGTTTCCCTTCTTCATAGATTTTAGTTATGATATTAATCTATGTTTTATGAGGTTGTGTTTTTAGGGGCTCTATTGCTAATCTGCAATCTTTATTTAAAATTTTTTTATGCAAGACACTCTTATTATTAATATAGTTATAAGAGAGAGAAATAATGATGTTTTAGAGCAAAAATTACTTCAGTAGAAGTGATAATAAACACCTGGGAGGGACAATACACACTTGTATTTTGTTAGTAAGTACCTTTTCAGGAATTTAAACTCCAGTAATTGAGTTCAAACTTAATTATTTGCAATTTACATCTCTTGTGAACATAAACATCCTTCAGGTAATTAGTTCCCAAGGTCTTTCCTCTTGGTTCATACAGAATATAAAAGATACAGAAATGTATTTGTGCATGCAATATGCATAAATTTTATTCAAATTTTCATTTCATCCATTCTCTTTATTTGGCTATATGGGGGTGTTTGTTTTGAAGTGAATTATTATTATATATATATTAGAATGATATCTTTAGGAACACTATAGCTATAAACATTATTTTCGGATACATTCATAAATATGTTTGATTAGCAAAATGATATTTTTAGGAATGAAAAAGTGGAAGTGGGAAGTTATGAGAAAGTAATTTGCATTCTCATGAAAATTAAGATACCCACCTCTCATGGGAATAAACTAAAACGAAAAGTAAAAAAATTATGGCTATTTCATTTTATTTTTTTCTAGAATTAACAAATTTTAAGTTTTTTTTTTCTCAAACCTTACACCAAGTATGAGAATGATTGTAGATATCCTAAAACAAAATATGTTAAACTTTACAAGAGGGCACTTATCATATGAATTTTATTTTACATTCAATTGCTACGTACTTTTTCTCAAAATAACAAAGGTATAAAGTTGAATTGGATAAATTTCTCAACAAATAGTTATAAGAGAATAAAATAAAATATATTAAAAAGGTAAAATGAAGTAATTTTCTTGTATATAATCTAAATTTACTTATATACCACACTTTTTGCTAAAATTCTCATTAATTTTTCCATAAGCATCTATAACTCGTCATTCTTGCTTTTAAAAAAAGTTCTATAATAGCAAGGATTTTACAGTTAAAAGTATATATATATATATATATATATATATATATATATATATGATGAGTATTATTTTTTATGCAATTTCGTACAAAATCTTTTTACATTATTATTCATAATTAGGTCACCACAAAGTTTAAACTAGGGTAATCATTTTAACAATAGATTGGCAACATATTGTTGAACGATACATTGGAACAATTTTCGTTTTGTGCATCAAAATTATATTATAGAACATTTTCTCGTTTCTTCTTTGTTAGGGACATTATTTTCTCATTCTAACAATTGTATTCTATTTTACTTTCGGCTTTCGGGTGTTATTTACTGAGAATATACTGTCAGGTCTGCTAAAGAAAATGAATTGGCTTATTGGATTTGGAGCCGGAATTGCATCACAGGTTGGACAATCAATAGTGACACCAATCAACAGGCAATTCGAGTATGTAGTGCACTACAACCAAAACATCAACAATCTTAAGAATGAACTTGAAAAGTTAAAAGGTAAGAAAGATAGAGAATACAAGGGATTGTGGATGAAGATAGAAAAATTGGACGCCAAATTGTGCTAAGTGTAGAAGAATGGCTTTGCAACGTGGCCACAATGGAAAAAGAGTTAGAAGAGTTCTTTAAAGATGAAGTCAACAAGAACAAGTGCCTTAGAGGGTGCTGTCCAAATTTGGTATCTCGTTGTTCATTAAGCAAGAGGGCCAAAGAATGGACTGCATCTGTCATAAGCTTAATGGAAGAGAAGTTTGAGATCATTTCCTACCCTTCTCCATTACCAAAATTGGAACCCGCCTTAATAGATAATATTAAGGTAGCATTTGATATGAGAGACTTCAAGAAAATCCCAAAACTTAAAGATTTACAATTTAAAATTCCCATGTTTGATGTAAACATTAATATGTTCAATTAGAATAAATGGATATCCGACTTTCCAAGAACAAATTATCAACTCCTGCGAACATAGGATTCTCATAATGAAAATTTATAATATAGATAGGTCAATTTAATCATGTAGATGCAAATTATTGCATATATGTTCATATAACAATAAAAGAAATATTAAGATTAACAATTGCTTAACTGAAACAAAAAAGAGGGATCTATCTTGATAACTGAAATTTACAGCGTTGAGAGTAAACTACCCTCTACCTGTACCTGATAAACAAAACAAGTGTTCACAATCTCTACGGAGACTTGTGCTTGATAGTTTTACTACTACAAACCTTTGCCCGGTTATTGCTCCTAATTTCAACTTCAAGATATGATCCACCCCCAATTAAAGAGTTTTCAGGACTATGAATTTTGTGCAAATGCCCCAATATATTGGTAAGTATAGTCTAGACTAGTTACAGTCCACTTGGCATGTACATTACTAGCACCTATGCAAAATATATGATGTTGGGTAAGAGACACTAGATCAAAAAGCAAGGTATACGCATACAACTACAAAAATCCAACTTCATATTGTTGTCACAGTGGTATACATATTTTTAAAAAGAAAAATGTTTCAATTGTTGTGTATCGGGGAAAATAAGCATATATGGATAAGGCCTGAAGTTATGCATTTCTGAAAACTTACCAACAGATAAAAACAATGGGGAAACAAAAAGTCCATATATTACAATTCTCCAACATCATCAACCAAAAATTTTCACTAAGAATTGCTCCTAAGTACAGTGTAAAAACTATCACCCTATAAAAGCCAATTGATAGTAATGTTGCCAAGCCATGTGAACAATGGGAACTGAACCAAAGCAATGAAGAGCAAGAGATAGTGATGTTTGCTCGAGTCATAACTCCTGACCTCAGCAAAAAGGACTCTTTTCATTGTTTTCACCAAGAATACTCCCATGCATAAACAGGTCCATGGCATCAAAAAGTAGTAGGAGTAACCCAATATTATTCTTCCAAGAACGGCCAAACATATTCCGGTGAAAGTATACCCAGCATATGCTATAATGTCCAGCAGAGGTGCTTCCCCACTGCCCAATGAAAGCAGAGTCACCTTAAGCAGTGCAGCTTGCATAAACCAACCGAGCAATCCCTTGATGAATAACAAGTTCAAAGCTTCTGGACTAAACCTGGACATTAATATAGCATCTTTAATAAATCATGACAAACTATGAGGAAAAGAAATGGAGATAGAAGTTAGAACAGAGAGAGTAAAATGAACTGAACTAAATTTTCTGTATAACTTGCTAAAACACGACTTAAAATTTCAGCACAATGAAAATATAATTAGCAATCTATGTAACATCTAAGAAGCTCAAGATTCCTATAGCTTTGAAGTTTGAATAAAGTTCTTACAGCTTTTAAGTTAGAAAATACAACATAAAAAAATAGATTTCAAAAAACAAAAACTGAATAGTTCAGCACCCAAGGCCCAGAAAAAAAGAGAAAGTGGGTGCAGAAACAACAGGTAATCATACACTGATGCCAATATGTCTCGAAACAATGTTGCCAACACTCAACGCTGCTAATAGAGTCCCACGTGTTTTATTGCACCAAATAGGTGGCAACTTGTATTCCCTTCCCCACAACATGCATATCATACAAATCCTTTTCACATACTGATTTACCAACGCTTCATCACAGACCAATACAATTCACAGCACAAACTTGAGATATTTGAAGGAGGAAAACAGATTTATCCATATTCCTTCTAAATCATCCTTGTCAAAGACAATAGCATATAGTTGACAACGTAGTTACGTTATTTGTTAACAATTCAAGAGTACAAGCATGAACAGGATGGTGAAGGGTAACTTTTCTAACTATAAATTTGAGAAAAATAAGTAGAACATGTGTCAGCACTACACAATGGGATTAAAGTAGTAGAAGAGGAGTATTTACTTTCCACGAAGACCCAATGAGAGGCCAGCAAGAACAACATAGGTACCAAATGCCATTAACGGAATGTACAGGTCAGGTGCATTTATGTCATAAATTGGTGGCTTATACGATAGCCTACCCCCCACTGGCTCAGTAATTCTAGTCCAATGACCCTGAACCAGAAAAGAAACAAGATAACGGCGGCATGAAGTCAAAAAAAGCTAATCAAATGAAAATTTAAGGAGAAATGCAGACAAGCGTGACATTACTGCTTACCCTGTGCAGGAATGGAAATAATACAACCTTCAATTTGTTCTTAACATAATGGTCATTCACTTGGAAATAGTATTGAGGATCAGAGAAATACCGACTTATCTGTTATTCAACAAAGAAGGTTAATTTAAAAAATTAAAACCTCAAATTCACACCTTGAGAGACTATCTATACTTGGGGTATGCATAGATAGAAAATCAAGGTCCATTAAGCTATTTAATGTCATTTTTCAGTTCCCTCCAAAATCAATCTAGCCTAAGTGGATTGATATATAGTCATATGATTGAAAGCAAAAGCATATACCATGTATAAATTAGATTTTAAAAGTGAATAATGGAATATCTCAAATTTTCTACAAAAGATTAAATAGGAACTTCAGAAACTGCCAAGTCATGCACAGCAATAGTTCTGGAAAACCAATAGATATGTATTGCTGAGATGACATGCCAACTGCTTAGAAACAAGGACATTGAAGAGGTTGTACCAGTTTTTGCTGAATGGTCAGATTTTTTAGACACATTTTTATTCATAAGACAGGTAAAAACAAAACAATTTGAGCTTCAAATTCCTATCTAAAAATTATCAACTAAATCCTCAAATTGGTCCTCTCAAATACAAAGGACATCATCAAGTTGATCCTCCAAAGATTTTGGGCATCAATTTAGGCCCTCTAATTTAAAATGAACATCAATTCAGCCACTCAATGTGTCTTTGGATATCAATTTACTCCCTAAATTTTCATGCTATGAAGAACAAAATTGATCCCCAAAGTCATTGGAGGAACAACTTGAAGTCTCATGCACCTTTGAAGGACCAATTTGAGTATTTAATCAAGTAAAAGTTTTAAGGAGACATTGAAAGATCTATCCCTTGAACCATATTGCTAATCAAATTATTGAGGAAAAGAAATGTTAGAATACTACTTGTAAGTCTTACATTGCTTTGGACATACTCAGAGCTGGATCCTAATATTTTTCCTCCATATGCACCCAATCCACCTTTAATGAGTCCTGAACCAGCAACATTAAATGCATTCCCAAAAGGATTAGGGGGCAAACTTGTCGGAGGCTGCATTACCCCGGGTGGCTGTGGCACCCCAGGTTGGGATCCAACATTATTATACATTCTTACTACTCTGACAAAAAGGAAAGACAGAGAATCAATCAGAAACAACTTCAATGTGCAGACAAATTCAACATCAACATAGCATAACATACCAAAAAAGCAAACCGTCTAACATTAAAACATACATTATGACCCCAAATGCTACATTTCAGACACAGATTGGCATTCCATAAGGCAGAGAAACTAGCAATTAACAAATCATTCCCAATAGCATAACGCATCATAAGGTTGCAAGATAAGTAACCAATGAATTCAGTATAAAAAAAAAAAAAAGACCCTATTTTACCAATTTTTATTTACCAATGATTTGAACAGCAGTTTTCATTTACAAATAATTTGAACAGGTGAAGCGCTATCATCAACGCAAATAAACACCGAAATAACGGGAGATTCATATTTCATAAAAAAAATTATCCATAAAAATTAATGAAATTTGGATTTTCATACAAATCTGAAAACAACCCAATAAGCAATAGAGTGAAAAGTTGCAAACTTTAAGCGTGGAGAGAGACAAAGGGAGCAGAATCGATGGTGGGTAAAGAGAAAAAGGAGCATATGTTGAATAGGTATTGATTAATAGGAAATAGTAGAATTCAAATCTGTGAAGAGGAAGAACGAACCTTGAAAAGAAGAGAATGACTGGGAAGAACGGTGGCTCCTGCAAAAGAACTGAGATCTGGGAAGTGAGGAGCCACTGCAGAGGCAAAAAGGGTATTTGTGACGACCATTGCTTTTTTATAATATCGAATATTATTATTATTATTATTATTATTATTATTATTTGATGTTGAATTATTTAGTTTATAAAGTTTTTCTCCTTGTTTTTATGTTTTTCTTACTTTTCTTTTCTATTTTTTTATATTATTTTTTCACCCTTCCTTTATCGGAAAGATAAGGGGGAAAATATAGAAAAGAAAATTGAATCGCGTTTTCAAATTTTTTGATTGAATGAATGGCAAAATGAATATGTCTAAAGGATACTATTGAAAGGATTTTCTAAAATAAATACATATTTTAAAAACTTTCATATTAAAATTCTGTCAAATGAATCAATTAAGTAAGTTAGGATGAAAAAAATGTTACACAATAGTGACTGTATTCGATCCGTAATCTTAATAAAAAAAAAATTTTACTGAATTCAATAAGATTTATAACTTCAAATGAATCTCACAACTTAAGTAGTATTGGATTTTTTTTTTTCAAATCTAATATCCAAATATTCTTATATAAGTATTTTTAAGCTTCACTTACTTGAAGCTTAAGGATAATTGAAATAATATCCCTCATAATAAATTTATAATTAAATTTATAAAGAATTAAAGAATGAAATAGTTAATTGCTATGAATTAAAGTCAGTAATAGTAGTTTAGCTCTTGAGACATCTTGTAGGAATATTACATCAACACTTTCGTGAAAAAAATTTCTAGGTTAAAATAATCAGTATCTTTTTGTCACATTATCTTTTAATAATTGACATGATATTTAAAGAATTTTTTTTTAATTAGAATCATTTGAAATAAGGATCTTAAGAATTTATAATTTTCACCGATAAGATAAGAATGGATAAAAATATTAATATTTCTTTGTGATTGAAATTGTAAAGCTTCTAATGTAGAAATTTTGTTCTATCTTCTTGCTTTTTTTCATTGATAGAAAGCAAAGAAACAAACTTTCATAGGCAAATTTGGGGATTTATTTCATTTCTTATCAATAAATATAATTATCCCGTCAAGTAATTAAAATTTAAGAGACTCATCTCTAATAGTCACCTTTCTTCATTCAATTTATTTAGATTATGTTCTTTCATTTTATTATTAAATTATATTTATTTGTCACAAACATGAAATATTTGTTTTACTATATTAACTTGTGCCTTTGATATCACATCAACCTTGGTCTTCTTCTTCTTCTTTTTTTTCCATTTTTGTGATCTATTTCACTTTTCCTTTTCCATTTCTGACATGGTAAAGAGGCCTTCGCAATGGTTGAGGCTTGGTCCTGGAGGTGTGATGTGCTAATATGTTCAAGGGTTAAGAATCAAAGGTTTCCAATTTGCTGTAAGTGCTAATGCAAAATTCAAGAAAACATGTAAATGGTTTTTGTCAAGGTTACAATCAAAAAGGGTAAATGGGTTAATGGGTTTTTTAGGGTCAAAATGGGTTTATTTGGGTTGAGTTTGGTATCAAATGGGCTCTTGAATATGATATAAGAAAAATATTATGTTGTTAAATTCTTTTAATCTAAAATTAGAAATCAGAACTTTAATAATTCAAATATAAAAAATATAAATATTGAAATGCATAAATAAAAGTGACTTAAACAGGCAAAAACTATTAACAGAAAAATAATTTTTTATTAAAATTTTAATTGTGTATTTTATGAACGAGTTATTAACGCTTGTAGTCCTATTTTATGAAACTGCTTCTTACTAATAACTCACAAATTATGCAAACTAAAAATAACAATTATTCCTTCCTGTTGTTCTTTTCATAGACACACAACAACACTTCCCTAAGTTTGAGTAGAAATATATTTGGAACAAACCCATTCAAGAAACAATGTGCAATAGGGGTGGCTCAATTAATAGGATCAAACTGCCATGATCAAAAGTCTAGTGTACAATTCTTGATGGTGATTCAAGTATATTATTCCATTTGAAGTATACCATTTTTGTTGAGACTTGTAACATGATATGGGAATTGCAATGTCTTCCTCTCCTTAAACATTATTCAATGCATGTTTACATTCACCTTTAAAATATCATAGAATCACGTTTACTGTATTATAATATAATTTTGTAAAAAAAGTTATGTCAAGTTATTTTTGAGTTTAATTAATTTTACCTTCACGTGGTAAATTGTAATTTTTATATTAAGTTTTTAAGAAAAAATTAAATATAAATTATGTCACTTTAAATTTACTTTCAAAGAAAATTATTTCTATAAAATGAAATTTATTTAAATCTAAATTTAAAAAACACTCTGCTGGTGAGTGGTTAGGTTTATTTTTGAAAGTAGAAACTTCACATTATCCAAAGCAAGAACATACTCTACTGTTGGTACTCACTCCTCAACCTTCAAAAGCTTCTGTTGACCCATTTCCATGCACTTCGTATAGTGCTAAATTTGGCAAGGAGTTAACTTATGATCTGGAAATAGAAAAGAAAAGAGTTTTGAATTAAATGACATACCAATTTATGTAATTCAATCAAGGTAACATTTTATCCAACTTTTTGGGATTTCTCTTCTTAAAAGGGGATGAACCAAATACAGTTTTAAAAGACTCTTAAAAATTGAATTAGCCTTCTAAAATAAAATACCACATGATTTTTATAGAAGTTAATTCAAGAAGCTCTTACTTCTAAGGAGAAGAGAAGCTTAAAAAAATTGCATCATACAACACTTAATTCAACAATTAACCGTTTGATATTTTATTTTTTTTTAGTACAAGGGTACAACTAAAAATTATTTTCAGCAGTCTTTTTGTTTATCCTACACACAGCAAATAATCGAACCTCTATCAACATGTTTAAAGGACACAATCATCTACCAACTATACAGGACTTTGTTGGTTTAGCAGTTTGAGTTTAAGAAATAGCCTACAAATTTTTAATCTACAATTCCAAATCTTCCATCTAACACTGATGTGATTATATAAGTAGATGGACTCTTGTATTGAAGAACCGGGATGGCAATTCTCATTTGTTAATTTCTATTGTAGCGCAGAAAGTTCAACTAATACTTGAATTTTGGTAAAATAACATATAATAAAATGACGAAAGTATAGAGAACATATAGTTTTAAAAAAATATTACAGCATTTTATTTCTGGCTACTTTAGAAAATGCACTATCACAGGCTATAATAGTTTCTTGGATACATTGAAAAGAAGGTTGTGTGATAAAGATCAGGTGGCATAGGATTCTTATATATAATTCTTCCTAATTCAATGATATTATTAAAGTAGGGTAAATGCTGATTTGGAAAGTTAAGATATGAACCACCAGGAGTCGTCACAGTCCACTAATTTCTTGAAGCTTCACTAACTAGAGTGGCACTACTTTATCTTTTTGGTAATCCGAGTGGTGCTACTTTCACTATGTATTCCAATTCATTATAAATGTAGAAGTTCACAACTGAACAATAGAAAATAACTTCTTGGGTCTATGTTCTGACTAGTGACTAATAATTCTCAAACATTTTAATTTCAAATCTTAGCACAGGCATTCATGTAATTTTGATGGTCAATTATTTGCAAAATAATTTTTTTAATTAAATGCTATTGATTTTTGAGTGGCTAAAAAAGAGTGGACAATAAATAAAAGTAAAAGCAGCATTCTTTTTTTGCTTTAATTCTCTTTAATCTTTACCAATTAAAACGTGTAGTAGTGGCATTTTATGAGAGTATGGAAGTGCAAAATGTTTCTACCTTACTGGTATATGAATGAAAAACACATGGACTCCAATTAATAATTGAGGGGTTATCCATTCTTGAACTTCACCCTATCTTTTCATTTCCATATCTTCATCAAGAAGGAACTGAAACTGATAAATTGCCCATTGGTTTCAGTTTAAGTTGTGGCTCTTAAACACACACACATTGAGAGAGAGAGAGAGAGAGAGAGAGAGAGAAGAGAAGAAAAAAAAAAGATGTATGTAACAAGGTCTTTGTCTATGTATAGAAGATCTCCTAGTACTTTGTCAATACCACCACCAGATGGTCCATATTCAGGTTATTTAGTTATCACAGATGAGGAAGCAGAAGCTGAAGACGTGTGTTGTTGGCATCTATATAGGCGTAAGAAAGTTAAGAAACTACCTTTTCCTCAGGACAAAATCTTCTCAATCACTCATGCATCTGAGTATCAACAAACTTCAAGTGCCAAGGTTTGGTTTCTCCCTGTGCCTGATCACCCTCTCTCTTCCAACCGCTACTATGTCATCAGAGCCAAAGGCAGACATAAGGGGTATGTGTCATATGTGTGCATTTTGCTTTTGTCTGATCACCCTTTCTTAGTCTTTTTCGCTAACCATCTTGGCTATCATTATATTTACAATGGCTTTTGAACTTGTCATGCATAAGCTGAAGTCAGAACTAAGGTCATGTCATTCATCTTAGAGGAGTAATGTTACTTAAACAGTAAATTGAAAATATTCAGTCCTCTGAGTGTATGTGCTTCGTCCATTAGAATTATGACACTAGGCATGTGTGAGACTCAAATTAAGAATGATAACACTGTTGAAGAGGAAAGTATTAGAGGATTCAGTTTCTTGTCAAACTTTAGATGCAACAATAATATTTGTTTAAGCACAACTTATGAGAAAGTTTGTGCAGATTCCATAATAAGAATCTTTGGAGAACTACATCACAAAAGTTAGTTGTTATAGATGGAGATTTCAAGTTCTTATAAGCCTATTAAAATCTCACACTTCCAATGCAAGACTTGAGTCCTATGCCTTGCTATTGGATCTTAATTTTACGTTTGTCATTTGACAATATTGTTTGTGAAGATATTCATAGTTACAATGTTGGGACTATTGTTATTTTGTAGGAAAGCATACAAATGCTCAAAAGAGGGGGACATTGTTAGTTGCTGCTTCACTGACGTCTTGAACGACAAGAGGCCAAAGCCTTTCAATCTGAAAGACTTGTACCAAATTTTTAAGATTCATAGTCATCAAAGTGGAGGCTTTTTTGCTAGGTCCATTACTCCTGATGGCATTCCTCCCTCATTCCTAAGGAAAAAGGGATGGAGAGTTAGAATATCAGGTTCATATAGATCTTGCAGGCTAGGTGAAGCTCTAGGTGTTGATGCTCCTCTAAGGGAACAGCTTCCAGATTTCAATTTTCCCATCGCTAGAAAACGTTCACCTCCTATGACTGTAGGAAAATGGTATTGTCCCTTCATATTTGTGAGGGAAGGAACAAGAGTTAGACACCAAATGAAGAAGTCAATGTTTTATAGCATGACACTTGAGCAAAGGTGGGAAGAGGTTTACACTTGTGGCAATGATGAAAGTGAAGGGGATGTTGTGATTGTGAATGTTTGTCTGGAAAGAGAGGTGGTTTTGGTGAATGGCATGGAAGCCACAAAGAACGGAAGAACTGATGCTAATGGTTTCTTTTGGTTTAGAGCATACAATCCATATAATAGGAGAAGGGCTAATGTGGGTTTAAGTTCAGCAATTGTTGACCACATGAGATGGGTGCAAGAGGCTGGAGGATGGGTTTATGGGCATGGAAGAGAAAGAATGGTGAGAGTGAGAGAAGAGGCAAGAAGCCAGAGTGAATGGCTCAGGTTTGGGTGTTATGTGTTGGTGGAAAGCTTCTGTTTGAGGACACTAGATGGAAGATTAGTGTTGAGATATGACTTTAGGCACACACACAAGGTCAAATGCAAATGGGAGTAAGGACCAGAGAGTATGTTAACTTCCCATGCATAAATTGTTAAGTTATTTGATAAATTTTAGTAATATAATTTTTTTAAACACGTTATTTATTATTAGTTAAAATTTATTAAAAATTATTTAAGGTTTACTCTTACTTTAATTGTTTTTATTCATATTTTTATAAATTTTAATTAATAACTTAAAACTGTGTGTTCCTAACAATTTTTATCAATTTAGTTCACAGAACTTTTCTGCAACTCATATTTTCTTGCTGACTAATTGTCGCATCACTCGTTTTATCTCGCATTTTCTCTCTTCAAGATGTGAAAAATGTTGCAAAGAAAATGAGTGAAAATAAGATTACTCTGCAATATGAAAATATGGTGCATACTTCACGTGCATGCATGTCTTGTCTGACACAGTAGAAATTTATGAAAGTTGAGGACCGTAGAAATTATCTGAAAATATTATGCTAAAAGGAAATCCTTCAACTTTGTTTTATCTGCAATTAATTTCCTAAGATTTTAACCAGTGTAATTAATTTATCCCTATAAAATTTGAAAGGGTAAAACAAAATATTGTAACATTTCTTCCACTAACTTTAAATTTTGCAATATGCATCCTTTCAATTTATGATTAACTGCAATTTGCTCTAGTGCTCAGCTATTACATCTGGTAAAATATTTTTATTCTAATGATGAGAAATAAATCCTTATTTTTAAATATATTAATTACTAAATTTATTTTATATTCTTAATTTTATCATAAAGTTATATCAAATAAATTTTTACTTTTCATGTAAGTCACTAAATATATATATTTGAAATTATCATAATATTTATTATATATAATTATTTTTATTAGTATTGATGATTAATTTTTTATTTTTTATAAACAGAACCGGAAGCAGTCTCATATTTTGAGAACTCTATACGACTATAAAAATGCACTTGTGTCCAAAATGTTTTAAAGAGAAGACTAGATTAAATATAGTTTTGAATTTCGTCGTATTTTTAATTAAAATATTTAATCAAAATATTTTAAAGAAAATGATTGAGAACAAAAATTAACTAGTTAATAGCAGTTTTTTTATTTAATTGTAATCTTAATTTTAAAATATTTGAATAAAAAACTTTATTATTCGTAATAATTTAATTTTTATTGAGAGAAGATTTTACTAAATATATTTTTAAATTATGTTGTGTTTTTAATGTAAAATATTTTCATAACTATCATTTTATTTTATTTAATACTTTATTCAATAATTTTGATTAATAAATAAATAATTATATAGGAAGTAGATTCAATTTAACTTGCACAAAAATTGGATAGTCTAATATTATTTTTACTTAAATAAATATAAATTTGCTTAAACAAAAATAAAAATTTCTCTTCTCTCATAACTTCTTTCTCTCTAAACCACCCTTCCTCTTCTCCTTCTCCCTTCTCTTCCATCAAGTAACCCTCCTTCCTTCTCCTCTCCATCCAGTCATGTCTCCTATTCCCTTCCTGTCAATCCACCTACTCCTCCATCCAACCCTCTTTCTCTTCTCTAATCAGCCCCTCTTTCCCCTCCACTAAATCATGATCCCTTTTCTCCTCCTATCAACCTATTTTTCCCTTCACACAACCCCTCCTTCCCTCCTCTCATAAGCCTTCTTCTGTCATTTTACTAAGTCTCTTTTCGTTAGCACATCCTTCCTCCTTCACCAAAACCCTACCTTTCCTTTTTTTGTTGGCCTCCCTTTTTCTCTCCCTTACTCAGTCTCCTTTCCTAATTTCAGTTTCTTTTATCTAATCTCATTCACCTTCACATGCTACCCTTTCTAGCTGCTATTTTTTTTTTTACAAAAAAATTGATATCTACTTTAGTGAATTAAATTTGTTTAAACCAAATTGAGACTTGACTTTAGTTTCTGTACGAATTAGAACAAATTCAAATTTAATTATAAATATGAAAAGAAGTGATTATTGAAATTGGTTTCTTTGGCCAAGATAATAAATCAGGAACAACATTTTTTTTTCACCTTTTATATGTTTAACAGTAAACTTATACCTAAAAAACTAATTTTTTTAGTCTGAGGATTTGAGGATCTCGAGGCATTTTATTTTTTAATTCAAAAGGAGCGAAAAAAAAATTAGTTGTCCATTTGAACTTTAAAAGTGTGTCCTCTTAAATGAAAATCAAATTTTTGTATTCCATTTTTTACCGCTAGGGCCTCCTTGTAGATAATATGATAATACTTCTCAGACTATTTAAACTGTCCACTTGCATAGTCACAATAAGCTTTCTTTCCATTGACTTCTTCCAATAACACAGCTCTCCAATAATGATCACTAGCATCTATCTGAAGGATTCTTTTTCCATCTTCAAGAATTTTCAAAGGCAAAGGATTCTAGGCTATCCTTTTCACTTGTTTTATTGTTTCTGTTTGTTCAAATTTCCAAGGTGAGACATTTTTCCTCAAGAGTTTTAACAATGAATTGGTGTATCTGGCAATATTAGGAATAAAATTCCTAATGTAATTCAAATTTTTTAAGACCAAAAGGAAGAACTTTCCATTGATACCGAGCATTTGGAATACAGAAGGTTGTCTTGTATCTATCTGATTGGTCAATGCCAAGTTGTCAAAATTCTAACTTTAAATGAAACTTTGAGAAGATTACAGCTTCTTTGATGAGTGTATGGAGAATGGATGTTTTAGGGATTGGAAACTTATCATCATCTAAAAAATGGTTCAAAGGTTTATAATTAATGACTAACCTTTTCTTTTCCTTAACTTTTTTTATCTTTTTTCAACATAAAAAGCTTGACAAGCCCATTCTGATCTTGTTGGCTCAATCAACCCCTGCTTTAGAAATTGTGTGCATTCTTCTATAGCTAAATGAAGATCACTAGGACTCATTCCTGGATGGGTAGCCTTTGTTGGGTTTATATCTTCATTTAGTTTAAGAGGGAGTGGGAAGAAAAATTCTGGATTCTTCCATAAAAGATTTGCAGCAAAATTCTTCAATGACTTTATATGGATCTGTATTTGCTTTCATGAATTTCGTGTCAAGCCATTCCCTAAAATCAAGTAGTCTTTTTCTCCAATGTTGAGGAGAAATATCATCAAGAGTGAAATAAAGACCTCCATTGAGTTTGGTTCCTTTTTTTTTCTTTCTTGTTGTCATCTTCTTCAGAGGAATACATTATTGGATTCAGTTGTGTTGACTATCATCATTCCAGTAATATCAGCAAAATCTTCTTCTTATAAGATTATCCCAAGTGATTCTTTAGAAAGACTAGATTCACTTTGGATATCATCAGGAATAATAGTGTCAATTTGTTCTTCTTCACATAAACTTGAGGAGTTTTCTTTTTGAGATAGCGAAGAATAGTCTGATTCACCAGAGGTGTCATCTCTTTCAGTAATCAAGTCTTGAAAGGAATTTTGTCTTGCCTGGTTTTTTTTTTATGACTTTTTGGGAGGCAGAGCTTGGTCATCCGCTAAGGATGAATTTAAATCTTTTGTTTTGACTGTATCTGAGGAATAGATACTCATCTTCCATTTTTCTTTAGAGCTTTTAGGAATAGAAATAGGTTTAGGCCTATATGCAGAAGAGGCAAATGTATTTGTTTATAAAATCTATCAAAGCTATAGTAAGAAATAGGAATAAAAATAATGTATCTGTTTATAAAATCTATCAAAGCTATAGGAAGAAGGACCATAGCAAATAGATCAATATCCAGAAGTTTTCTGATGCACAAGATCCTCACAAAGAGACAAATGTAAAACATACTTTCTTCTAATTAAGGACTAGAGGATAGTCATCATAAATAAAGCTTTCAGAGAAGGAATCTAGTAAGAACACATGATATTATAGAAATAAAGGTTTTATTTCAATTTTTTCCTGCCTCATACAAACAACCTTTCCTCCTTATATAGAAGATAGAAAACAAACAACGTGATTAAAAGAAAACACTATCATATAAGAATCTGCTACTTTTCTAAAAGGGCTTTAAACAAGCTTACAAACTAAAACAACTTTTAGTATAATACAGTAAGTAAAGCACACCAAAAGCATATTGACAATTCATAAAGTTGTCTTTTCAGGAATCTTTCAGTCCTTAAAGATAAGTTCATAACTAAGAGAGAGATTAAGATCTTCATATGATTCCTAACAAACATTGTCCAACAATGATTCATCTGAATCTTGAGAATCAATCATCATATTTGTTATCCATGTTCTTAATGACTCATGAGGATGTGCTTTTGTAAATTTCATTCACTTTTTTCTTTATCTGAAAAAGCATTCATTAGTGGCATTACTTTGTGAATTTTGTCCTACATGTATTTTTCATCAAAAACTAGGGACTGATAATATCTAATGATTTTAGATTAATGCAGGTGGAATTTACTTTGATCATTTCATTTCTTGATCCATTGATTATGTGAAGATGTATGGTTAGGTCAGATTGATGAAAAGGAGGTTCATCATCTTGAGCAAAGATCCTTGTATCTAGATAGGTATTCCATTACATCTCTTGATCCATTACTTTCTCTTATTTTTAAATTGGTTCTTTAAATCTCAACATCAACCAAAATAAAATTAACCAGTCAAATAATTAGATATAATTAATTTTAAAAATTACAAATTTGATCATTTATTTTTTATCAATTATCAAATTTATCTTTATAATTTAATCGATCTAACTCAACTATATACATATATGAAATAAAATATCATATATATTTATATTTTAATATTTTGATGTATTTTTATTTTTAAATAACCTTTTATGAATGATTTATTATAAATATAAATAATAATTTTTACAAATACTAATATGTATAAATTTAATATAATAACTATTTAATTTTATAAATAAAAAATATTTTTTATTTTTTAAATATAGACAATTCCTAACTCAAACTAACTTATTCATTATTAAGTTAGATTATTTTTAGTGTCGTATAAAAAAATGAACTCTAACTCAATCCGTTATATTTTAATAATATAAAATAAATGTTTTTTTTTTTATAATTAAACTCAACCAAAGCCACCGACTCGAAAGTCTATTCATCACTTTCTGTCCTCACAACAATTCTAACTTTGCGTGCCATCGGGTGGGGCCAAGTCGACGACTTAAAACTTTACAATTCCTGCCAACTGTCTGCAATATAAACTGTATTTTAATAAATTCATATAATTTAATATATATATATATATATATATATATATATTTAATTTTATAAAAATTAATTATATTCATCTTTAAACTGTAATCTTCTAATCCTATTTTTTCAAGGAGAATAATTGGATAACAGTATCTAAATTGTGTTGAATTAGTGGAAAGAAAAGAAAGACACAAAAAGAATCTGATGTAAAATAAATAAAAAATAAAATAGTGCCAGAAAAGATGGTTAAAAATATAAGTTTTTAATATGTATTTAAAAATATATAATAGAGATAAGAAAATTTTATTAAAAATCATATTATTTAATATTTTGATATGATTTTTAATACATTAAAGTACATAATTTCTTATAAAAATTTATCAAATATGGATTTTTATTATATATTCTTAATGCATGCTATGGAAAAAACAAAATTTAAATGTAACATCGTGATGATAATTTATACAAAACTTTTAATGGTCTTTGACTGTGCATGTGGGACTTCACCTAAATTTTGTCCCTATTTGGTGAGAGTGCAGCTCTGCAACGTTTATTTAATTAACTAGGCTTCATGTTTTGAGATCCAAACACGAGAAAAATGATGGTTCACAGTATTCTCCCTGTTAGTCAACTTCATATTACTCCAACTTGCGTTCACCCTAAAGGTATTTTCCTTCCTTTCTTCTTCTTCTTCTTCTTCTTACAATTATTAGTATAGCAATTCTCTAGAGGTATTGGTTGTAGTAGTTTGAATCATACACATTTTTCAGTTTCATTTATTTCATTTTGCCAAATCTTTTCTCAACTCAGTTCCTCTTCAAATAAAATTCAAGTTTTTAAGACTCTGAACTGCAAGCAGTTAAGGTCAATTGAGTTTGTCGCATTTGACCCCAACTGGTATTTTGCAATCTGTGATTGAAACAAACAATGGAGACAACCCAAGTCAGAGACTTAAATTTGTTGTGTATGCTCGGTTTTACCTAGCTATGCAGGAGATTAAGATGGAAGTTTGAAAGTTAATAACAGGGAAGAAACCTGGAACTGTTAGATAATTTATCTTAGTACATAGTCGAACTATCCTCAAATCTTGTTTGAATGAGTTTTGAGCCACTAAGGCTTTCTTTGGAGTGCGAATTTCATTTTATGCTATAACCAAATGGGTTTTGTGGTTTTGTTTTTGACGTTGTATCATTGGTTTGGTTTCAATTTCCACAATTTAGTGGTATAACTTGGTTATAGCATGTTCTTCTTGTTAACTTCAGTTGGAAAGCAATGGCCTCACCAATTTGGCTTGACTGCGAGGCCAATGCATCCAAAGCTTTCAAATGGCTCTAAAGTGAGAGCAACTTTGGATGCTGCTAGTAAATCAATTGAGATACCCCGGCAATGGTACAATCTGATTGCAGATCTTCCAGTGAAACCACCTCCACCATTGCATCCTAAGAGTTATGAACCAATCAAACCAGAAGACTTGTCACCCCTTTTTCCTGATGAGTTAATTAGACAAGAGACAACCAGTGACAGATTCATAGACATACCAGATGAAGTTCTTGATGTTTACAAGCTTTGGCGCCCTACCCCTCTTATTAGGTTTGATTATCCACCATATTTATTCTTTCCTTTCCTTTTTGTCATTTTGAATTATAGAGCATGGTTGGAAATGCTTAAATTTGGAGAAATAATCACTAAATTTTTAAAAGTCCTCTCAGGAAGTTGACAAAAATAAGCGATTATTTTTTCAAAATAAACTGAACCAAACATGTATATAGTTAGTAGCTTACATATCTGTGGTGAATTTAGAGCCAAGAGACTAGAGAAGCTGCTTGATACGCCGGCTAGAATTTACTATAAGTATGAAGGAGTAAGCCCCGCGGGATCACACAAACCAAACTCTGCTGTTCCACAAGCCTGGTATAATGTACAAGAAGGCATAAAAAATGTTGTGACAGAAACTGGTGCTGGTCAGTGGGGAAGTGCATTAGCCTTTGCATGCAGCATATTTGGCCTTGGCTGTGAGGTATGGAACTATGGTCTGTGGGCATTAAATTCATGATGAAATTATCTAACTGAAACAATGGGTTTTTTTAGCTCAGTCAAAGATGTCTTTGGATGTTACTAATTTCTTGCTAGTGTTGGTAAATTTAACTGTGTCTAAACTAAGAAGTTATGATGCAACCCTGTTTAGAACCAACAAGAAAATTTAATTGAAATTCCATCCAAGTAACTGTGTACTCTGAAAGAAGTCATCAATGCTAGTTCCTTGTTTAAAATCTCCTTTGATTGTTTGAGTATCATTAACACAATTCAAGCCAATAATTAGAATTATATATATGATTTTATCCTTGCTATCAATTTACAAAAGGAGAATGAATTGCATGACTCTTTGTTCAGTAAAGAGGAGTCAAGTAAGACCCAAAAAAACATTAGCTGAAGTTATTAAAAGAGACATTTTCATTAACCAGATTTGAACTTAATGACGTTGTGTAATCTATATAGTCAGATCTTACCTAGTGAGATAAGACTTGTTCTTGTTGTATCAATTTACAAGAGGCATGAAACCATATGTTTTGTGGAATAATTGAGTAGGTGTGGCAAGTGCGTGCTTCTTATGATTCAAAACCATATAGGAGATTGATGATGCAAACATGGGGTGCAAAGGTACACCCATCTCCATCTATGATTACTGAGGCAGGTCAGAGAATACTTCAACAGGATCCATCAACCCCAGGTAGTTTAGGCATAGCTATATCAGAAGCTGTGGAGATTGCTGCTAAAAATGCCGATACCAAGTACTGCTTGGGGAGTGTACTCAACCATGTTCTACTCCACCAAAGTGTTATAGGAGAAGAGTGCCTCAAACAACTGGAAGCTATTGGAGAAACCCCAGATGTGATCATAGGATGCACTGGTGGTGGATCCAACTTTGCAGGACTTAGTTTTCCATTCATTAGAGAGAAGCTCAATAAGAAAATCAATCCTGTTATAAGAGCAGTTGAACCTACAGCATGTCCTTCATTAACAAAAGGGATATATACATATGATTATGGTGACACTGCAGGGATGACCCCCTTGATGAAAATGCACACACTTGGGCACAACTTTGTTCCCGATCCAATTCATGCTGGTAATTATTTTTAAGCTTAACATTATTGTTTAGTAATTTAGTCCTTGAATCTGTCAACTTCAACACAAATTTAGTCTCCAAATTTGATTTTTGCGACAGAAGGATTAATTTGTCACGAAGTTGACAAATTTAGAAACTAAATTGTATACACACAAACTTTCAAGTAACAAATCAACATAAAAAAGTTGTCATTTTTAGGTACAAAATTGTGTATTTACTCTTATAAATATTAGTGTATCTTTGTTGTATTAACATTTTGGCTTATTTGTAGGGGGTTTGCGTTATCATGGTATGGCACCATTGATCTCACATGTTTTTGATTTGGGTTTAATGGAAGCAATTGCAATTCCACAAACTGAATGTTTTAATGGTAATTCACATTTTCCTTGGCATTGGAAACAATAAAATTTGGATGGTGATTAGAATCATATAAAATGAAATTGTGTCTTTTGGTTACAGGTGCCATACAATTTGCCAGGTCTGAAGGGTTAATACCAGCACCTGAGCCAACTCATGCCATAGCTGCAACTATAAGAGAAGCTATTCATTGTAGAGAGACTGGAGAGCCCAAGGTTATTGTGACAGCAATGTGTGGGCATGGCCATTTTGACCTACCAGCTTATGAAAAGTATTTGCAGGGTAATATGGTTGACCTCTCATTACCTGAGGACAAGGTGAAAGCTTCACTGACTGATATTCCTCAGGTGGCACGTTGAAGCTCTTGTAGTACCCTCGAGGGACATGGAAGATAAAGGCCTAGTTTGGATTAACTTTTTAATAAGTATTTATGAACAGATAAAAAAAAAAAAAGTAAAATAAACTTTTCGAACAAGTTAAAATTAGGGATGGCAATGGGTAAAGTACCCGATGGGCACCCGCAAAATTTACCCACAATGGGTAGGGTATTTACCCGCTATACGGGTACGGGTATGGGTGTGGGTAAAAACCCGCAAATTTTAATGGGGATGGGTGCGGGTATGGGTATCTAAGTACCCACCCCGCCCCATACCCGCATATATATATATATGCTTAAACTTTATTCTATAATTATGAATTGAATTTTTGTATTATTATATTACTTATATGAAGTTATATAAGATTAATATAAAAATATATTTAATAATAAAATAAACCAAAAAATTTATTTTGGTTTATATTTTTAATAAAAAAATTTATTTACTATTTTATATCATTTAATTAGGCTAATACAATTTCATTATTACATAGTTAATATGAGATTGACTTTTTTTAAAATATTATTTATATATGACACACATAAAATATTTTTTACACAAATATTTTTATTAATAAAATCATATTGATGATTAAATCATAAAGTGAATGATAAATAATAAATATATTATAAATTTTACAATCACCTACTATTACCGTAAACTTATTATTTATTAATAATATTTAAATTTTATTTTTATATTTTAATTTAAAATAATATTTTTTTATGCAACATATGTATTACAAGCACAACTATAATCTATTGAATCTAAATAATATTATTCTTACTATTTATTCACATTCAAAGAAGTTTTTGAAAAGATATAAATATAAAAAAATTATTGTTAATTTTTATTTGTTAATTTTTTTAAGATAAAAAAGTATAATTTTTTTTAATATACACGTATATTTTTTTATTATAAAATTTTATTGTAACTATTTATCTTTTATTCAAATTTTTTTAAAATTTATATATATTATAAATATTTAATTCACTAAAATAATTTTTAAAAAATTTATATTTTTGATAAAATACTTTCGTATAGTATATGAGTTAAAAAATACTAGTATTAATATATATATATATATATATATATATATATATATTATATTTATTATTTTAATTAAATCTATTATTTTTCTTACACTTTCAAATTCAAAAGTTAAAAAAAATATTTTATGTATCAACTTTCTATCGTTAGTATTGAACTTCTCTACTCTAACTCTATTCACATTCTTAATGTCTGTCTCACTAAAACTTAATAACTATAAAAGGTTATTCATTAGAGTTAGTTTTTAATGCCGTCACAAGAGGTTACTAAGTGATCCCACACGAAGGGACAACCATTGTACAGATCTATTTCGTTGTCGTTCTGACATTACCAATCAATCAAATCTCACACAAGATAGGATTATCACTGACAAATAACTTGTGTGTTTAGTTTTGCTTATTGTTTCTAAGAATTTTAGTCTAGAAAATTATTATATTAAGATACATTTAACATTTATGATCTTTGAATATTTGTTTTTTATCTATATTTGTACCTTGTTCGACAACTACATATTGAATTTTTGTATTATTATACTACTTATGTGAAATTATATAAACATATTTTTCTTTATAAACATTTTTTTCTCAAACAAGCGCGGGTAATGGGTACAAAACGGGTATGCGGGTACCCAGAGGGTACGGGTACGGGGATTAATGTTCATACCCACGCGGGTATGGGTCCGGGTACGGATATTTTTTTAAAACGCGGGTATGGGGATGGGTACTGTAGTACCCTATCCATACCCTACCCATTGCCATCCCTAGTTAAAATAAACTTGCGTCCCTTTACTTTTACTGTTAAAAGATTTTTCAGTTAACTTCTTTAAACTATGTATAAATTGTCATTGAACATATAATCAACTAGCAAAGGGTTGTTTGAATTTAAAATTGATGATGTATTCATACTTGTAGTAGTATTAGAATATAACACAATCGTTATTTTCAATTGTTTTTTCAATAAATTTTGTTCAATAATGATACGATGATGACAAATAAATAAGTATTAAGTAAATATTTTTATTAAAAACAACATTAAAATGTAATAAAAAGCATATACAAATGGAAATTAATAATAATTTTAATATAAACTTTCCATGGGTAACATGAGGAAAAAAATAAAATTACAACTGCAAAATAGAACACTTGCTATATAATTCTTTAATAGTGCGACACCGGTTAGCATTTCCAAAATATTAATTATATTATTAAAAATTAAAGAAATACAAAACAATAAAATATAGATTATATATAAATATAATTGAATATCAATTCATCCTATTGTTTGAAAGATTTATCAAAATAGTTATTAAATTAAGAAAATTGTCATTTTAGTTCTTACGTATATAATTGTTAATTATTTTAATTTTTACAATTTTAAAATTTCATTTAAACAGTCTACAACCTAAATAATATGTCAATGCAATCATCGTTTATTTTAGTCATCATTCATTTTGGTTTTCAATGTATATAATTGTCATCTAGACATAATGCACAATATGTAATAATAACGTAAGAAATAATTAATTTAGTCTCTATAAAATATCAAGTGTAGAAATTATTTAGAAATCAAACTAATAGATTTAAAAAAACTAAATTTTAAAACATATCATTTTATTACATTATGTTAAAGGTCAGTGACATAATTAACTAATTAAATTAATTTGTTTATTATAATAATTAATAATTAAATGATAATAAAAATTAAAATGATTGATAATTATTATATTAAGAACTAAAATAATTAGTGATTACATGCATTAAAAAATTAAAATAATAATTTATTTAAATTATAAATTATTTTAATGAATTTTTAAAATTATAACAATTAAAATAAGTAATAATTACATATATTAGATACTAAAATAATGCTTTACTTTGTTTAAGAACTAGATATTAACATGCATTATTGTATACGTATCTTAATTTTGAAGAAAAAAAACATATCTATATTTCGTATTATGCTAATGACTAATTCATCGTCTGTTTAAATGAAAAATGTGTGAATGGAATTTAGGTGATTTTACTTTAATTGATTAGATAAATTTTGGACGAAAGATAATTTTGTAAGCAAACATATTTATTAATTTTATCTCTTTTATTTTTTAATCAAATATTTAGTCTCTATTTGAATTATAACTATTATAAGCGTGATAATTCTAACATTTCATAAAAAGTATTTATGAAAATCAATCAATTAATTAATTAATTTTAACAAAACACTTACAATTGCTTTGTGCCCATGGAAATCTATTAATCAATTTTTTTAAAGAATTCCTATATGTTATCGTATTTTTGAGTTCTTTCGATGGCGGATAATTTTCAAAAGAAAATTATCTTTTGCTAATTTAGATTATTTCTCATCATATGGACTTTTACATAAGGTTATTTATTAGAAAATGAAAGCTATTGATAAAATGAAAATATCAGCAAAAGTGACGATGTTTTATTTTTTAAATTTATGTGTTATTGTTATAAATTTATTAGTTTTTTTCACTGTTTATATCAGTTTTGAGTCTTCTTTAAATTTATATTAAAATAATAATAATAATTTAGTCAAAATTCTGAAAATCTAACTGCTTAATTGCTAAATTTAAACATTTTTTTTTCAAATGAGGACAGTCCGTTCTTTTTTAATTGAATATATTAAATAATATTTTTATTGGAGACATTGGGCAATGCTATAAAATAATAAATACAATCACTTTTAAAAATTATTTCATATACTTCACTGAATAACTTTATTTTAATATTAATATTTTTTATAAAATATAAACAAATACCAACTATAAGATTACATACTCAAGAATGTTTAGCTTATTTGAAATAAATGGATAATTTATTAATACAAACGATTTTCATTTTTTTTTTGTCTTAAGATATGTAAGTTGAGAAGTAGGCCTTGGACTCTTTTAAGGGGTTTCAACAAAATTTTACAGTTATCGAAATTTTTTTTTTATGGCTAAAATTGACAAATTTATTTAAAATTAATAATTTTAGAAATATAGCTGAATGTAGTAATTGACGAGTTTATTCTCCTATATATCATAATTTATTTAATTGGTTATTTCATTACTTTTTTTATTTTCATATTCAATTATTAAATTTAAATCTAGATTCTTTAAAAAAATATAATAATAATTTCAGGCTCCCTCATCGTTTAAGTATTATCTTATTTTTGTTTTTCTATTAATGCATTTGATTTCTTTCCGAAATTATCCTCCACAGAAAAATAAATATGAATATGAATTATTTACTTTTAAATTAAAAAAATCTTTTTTTTTCACTGCTTTAATGCGTAAGGATGACTTATGTCCTCGCTTAACATTTAATCTACTCTTCAAAGATGTATTCACATTCATTTTTCTGTTTTCGAATAATTCATTCATTATGATTTCTATATCAATTTTTAAGCATAAAAATTAAATAAATGTGTTTTCTTTGAGTAAATAATTTTTTTTTTTATAATACTTGTTTAATGTGATTAATTATAGACTATGAATGAATAATTGAAGAGGTGTATATATGATATATTTTATTTCTTAAAATATTAAAAATATCATGTTAATTTTTTATTTTTATATTTATTAGTTATTTTAATCCCGTAAATTTAACATAAGTTAGAAATTAAAATATTTTTAATATTTTAAAAATTAAAATACTCTATACTAACTATTTCAGTGTCAACATGAAAGTTTAGTCTATTAAAAGTTATTATAATTCCTTAAAAAAAGTAGAATTGTAATTGATAAACATTCTTAAAACGTGACTATAGTATTGATTTGTTTTCTTTTAAAATCTCTTTAAAGTTTTTTTTTTTTTTACTCATGTAGTTGATTTTTTTTACCCCAAATTAATCTCTTTTCAATTGACCAATTAAATATAAAAAAATAATATAAATTATTTACATTAAAATTTTGGAAAAAAAATGAAGTAATGACGGTTTATATTTTTACTAAACATTTAATTTTCTTCTTTAAACATGTATTCATGTTCATTTTATCCTTTGTTAGGCATTTATTTTTAAAAAATTATATTCTAACCTGTAACTTTTAAATGACTTTAATTTTTTTCATAAACTTATTTATTATAATTCATATCATTCATTTTAAGCAATACAAAAATAAATAAACATGCTTTCATAGTATGTGAATATATATATATATATATATATATATATATATATATATATATATTTTACACTAGTGTAAGTTTAAAAACTCTTACATTTAATTTGAACTTTTTATTTAACTTCAATTTATTACTTCACTAACCGTTAAATTTAAGTTAAATGAAATGTTCAAATTGAATATAAGAATTTTTAGATTTATACTAGTGTAAAAATATCATTTCTATAATATATATATATATATATATATATATATAGACTTCGGAAAAAATATCATGACACACAAAAAAAAAATAAAAAATTACTTGACTATAACATACTATTTTGCAATTTCCTCCTTAACGTGTATTCACATTTATTTTACCCTTTTTTAGATATTTAATTTTAAAGAAAATATATTTAGACTAATTTTTGTTGATAATAACTTATAATTTTTTATTAACTCATTTATTATGATTTATATAATCTATTTTTAAGCATGAAAAATAAATAATTATGCTTCCATAAATTAACAAATTGTAGTTAATTGATAAATTGTAGTTTTGTGATCTCATTTAAAGTGAACAGTTGTAGCTGCTTTAAATTTGGACAAGTAATTAAAGAAATGTATATGTTGTAATAATAATATTATTTAAAATTTTTTATATTAAACTTATTAAGACTATTATAATTATAATCCCATGAAAAATAAACATCTCATTTTAAGTATTGTATTGTTTTACAATAGGTAATATTTTCTAACATGTATCATGTGTGTAAATTTAATTATTATTTTTTGGTACATTATGATTTTTTTATAATTACTTTTTTTAGTATGAAAGCTTATCAATATAAAATACACGAAGATAAATATTTAACTTATATTTTAATTAAATTATTTTACATAAAATTATATTAATATTTTAAATATAAAGGCCAATGCATAATGTAAGGATATGAGTTTTGTTATTAATATCTAAACTATAGGAATTAATATAAACAAAAAAGTTATGAAACTAAATAATAAAATATTATTAATAAATAATGTTATTACAAAAATTTGATAAAACTATTATTCTCGATAAAATGTAAATCATTTAATATATAATAATAATAATAATAATAATAATAATAATAAAAGATACTCTAATTAACTTTTATACATATTATTTTCACGAGATACATTATTTAATATAAAATTATATTTTATGTTATTAATTTGACTCATATTTATTTTCATTATGTTTAACACATAACTTATTTTTATTAGTATTTTAATTAAAATTTATTTATAAATACTGTTGTTGTATCATAATTGACACACTCGTGAATCGTATAGTTAATTTTAAATTCAAACACTCACTTAATTATAATGTTATTTTTTTATACTAGTTATATTTTTACAATATTTCTCATAAATTTCAATAAAGATAATATTTTTTGGTCCAATAAAGACAATTTTGTCTCATTTGCATTGATAATTAATAAAAACATTGTTTTAAAATAAATTATATTTTTTTATGTTTAGTTTTTACGGACAGCTAATTATTTGTTGTCTTGTCAAAATTAAATTTTGATATTTACAAACTACACAACTAATGCTATTTATAGCAAAGTTTTTTCAAATTTGAGATGATAATATGTTTTAAAATATTAATATTTAATTAACAATAATTATTAAATTATTTGTAATTTATGTTAAAAAAACCTTTTAAAAAAATCCGTGACTCACAATACGCACCGGTTAGATGATCTGCGCCGATCACCTCATAACTCCCAAGTCACGTGACCAAATTTGAAAAAACGAGAGATAGAGCACGTGCCTCACCCCCTCTTGAACCAAAACCCGATACAAAAACCCCACTTCTGTGTACAGTTCAGTTCCTGTTTGGCTGTTTCTTCTTTCTCTCTGTGAGTGAAAAACGAACGTTGCGAGCGAGCATGGAAGCCATACTCATAGATTGCGTACAGAAGAGTCTGCACCATTTCTTGCACTCCAACGCCATCTTCATCTCACAACGTCTTTGTGCTCAGTTTCCCTCCGAGGTGGTTTTTTTTAGTTTCCGCTCTCTATTTTTCTACACTCGCACTGAACTTCTTGTGTTTTTCTTCTGTCTCTGTTTGGTTCCTCGGAGAATAAGAGAAAACCTAATGAAAAGAAAATAAGTTGCTGCAGACTTCGAGCTTGAGGAACTTCCATTTTTTCTTCTTCTTTCTTTTTACTTGTGTTTCTTAGAAATGCTCTTCCGCTCCGTTGCCTTTGTGCATCGAGATCGATGGCATCTGGTTAGGGTGTCAGAATCTGTTTGATTTGAATTCCTCTACGGAAGTTTATTTGGCGAGATTTGGATTCGGTTTTATTTTACTGTTTCTTTTATTCGAATTGAGGTTTTAAGTTTTCTTTGATATTCCTTATGTTTATTTTATTTCGAAGTAATGAATGTTGGATGGTGATTTTTCATCTTCTGAAATTTGGAGTTTGCTTGTGCAGTAACACTGAGTGTGGTACTTGGAAGTTATAGCCTGTTGTAGAAATTTTGGTTTGATTTTCAATGGTTGTTTGTCTACCATGTAGCTGTTTTTGCACATTTTTGTGGTTTAGGTTTAGCAGATGTTTTGTGCTACTATGATGGAAACACTCATGTTGCCAAAAACTCATGAAAGCGGACATTTATTCCTTATATTCATCCGCAAAAAAAGGGAATCACACACATTGAATTAGAAAGAAAATGTCCATATTTAAGCTTCACTTTTGTAGTTAGGTTAGAATCAGTCTTTTTGAATACCTAAATCCTTCGTATCTGTTGCACCTAAGGTACATGTATTTGGTTGTGCCTCTGATTCTTGTATTGGAATGCGCCTGATCAAGAATTTTGCATCCTTGTAATGATGTTCATTATTACTTCTCTTTCGTGAATTTATTTTGTGCCCTTTAGGGCTATTTATTAAATCAGTGTCACTTGCTAAAGGACATCTTTTAGACTCTCTTAGTCAGTGTTTGGAAATTATTTTTGTTTTGTACAGACAAATTTGCAACTTTTAGCTGGCTGTTACTTGCAGAGGAATCAAGCTTTTTCTGCATACCATATCTTAAAGGGTACGCTCTTTGCAGTTTTTAGTTATTTATGTCTAGACCAGTTTTGGGGCTATGTTCCTATTATTTTTAAATATCGCTGTTGCTTTTCTGTTTCTTTAATTAGCTTTTAATATAGTGTTTTATTTCCTTTGTTTGCTATTAGCTTGGAGCAGTGCTTCTGATTGTGTCTCTGAATTTTCTTCTTTATTATTTGAAGGAACCCAAATGGCTCAATCCCGTTACTTGTTTGCAATATCATGCTTTCAAATGGATCTTCTTAGTGAAGCTGAAGCAGCATTATGTCCTGCTAATGAGCCCAGTGCAGAGGTAGAAAACACCATTTAGAATGTGTTTTATATTAAGGATTATCTGCCAATTTTTAAATTATAAGAATATATTGGTGTAATATTTTATTTCCCAAACAATTTACAAATTTTTATCATGCTTTTTCTGTTTGGTTGTAGTCTAGTTTGCTACTATTGATTCACTTTTCAATTAATTTCTTCAACCCCATCTGTTTTAAGTTTCTCTTTGTTATAGTTTGTTTGTATATTTTCTGGAAGAAGGTGAATGATTTTGTAAATCTTGTTTCTTTTCTTACTATGTAGGTTCCAAATGGTGCAGCTGGTCATTATCTATTAGGGCTCATTTACAGGTTGCTGAACAATTTTCCCATCAATGATTGACTGGTTCACTCCCCCTTTCCCCCCACAAAATAAATATTTGATAATTTTAGATTAAATGATCTAACTAATTTGGCTGAATCACATCATACAAATATGCAAATATTTAACAATGATATCCAATTAGTTTTTTTGTTCTTAGGAGAGTACAAGAAGCTTATAAGTGTTATAGTTATATTATATGACCATCCCTAGAAATATTAAAAAGTTGTGGTGAAGTTTTTTGGTTCTTGTAAACTATCTTCTTTGTGAAGGATGGACAACTACAAAAAGCATCTATTGAAAGTTTGATACGGCATATTGCTGACACATTTTAAGTAGAGAACAAGGAATAACCCTTAAATTTTATTACCAGCTCTATACAATCTATTTTTACTAAGCAGCCTAAACTGTTTAAATTGGTATTGCTCAAGAATTTTGTGGAGGATTCTATATCATAATGGATTATAGATAATCTCACACTTCTTGATTAGCACATACATTTTTTAAAATCTCTTGCATTTTTGCCTCACAGCCTTGGTTGTTATTTGGTGGTTGATACCCATCAAGTATTTGCTATTGTGCTTTATGAAGATTTGGTCCTTTGTGTTCCTTGAACTGATTTGTCTTTAAACGTTGTTCTAACTTATAATTTATTTTATATCCATACTTATCCTTCTATATTCTCTTTAATAACTATTTTTCCTTTTCAGATACACTGATAGAAGGAAAAATGCTATACAACATTTCAAGCAGGCACTATTAATGGATCCTCTAATGTGGGCTGCTTATGAGGAGTTGTGCATATTAGGTATGTAAGATGATTTCACTTGATTCCCAATTATCACTGGGCATACTTGATGACTCAATTGGGGAAACACTGAGTTGTTTTAATGGCTGATTGCTAAGTTGTGTGAATACCATTTGAATATTACAAGAATCCTCCTACCAAACACATCTTTAATGTAATTAATGAATGTTTCATTCTTTTAATGTAATTCTATATTCTATAGATTATTCTTTTCTTTCATTCTTTATGTTGTTTTCATTATTATTATTGTTAAACTGTTTTCTAAATATCTAGGTGCTGCTGAAGAAGCAACTGCAGTTTTTGGTGAAGAGGCTGCTTTTTGCATTGAAAAGCAATACCTGAATTGTTCAACCTCTACAAACTCACCTATGTTGCCTGAATATACTAATGAAGTTGCCACTAGACCTTGTATATCCATGGAAGTGAGTTCAGGGCACTTCAAACAAATGCAAGGTCTAAAGGATGTTGCTGTAAATCACCATGGAGCATCTATATTGGGAGGAGCTTATGGTGAACCTATTAATAGTGGTCCATCTAACATGTCATTTTATAACACCCCATCTCCAATGGCTGCGCAGGTGACTGTGCAGTTTTGTGTTTGTGTAGACTTATCGATGTTTAAATATTTGTGGGAAGCTAAACTTTATCAAAATAAAATCACAATTTTCAGTATGGTCAACACAGAAGGATTCAGATATATATATATATAGTGCAGGTTCCTTGGTCAACTAGATGCGTGTTGATGTGTATTTCTCTTTTCAAATGAATGACATGTTCCGTTCTCTTTTTTGCAGTTGTCAAGTGTTGCTCCTCCCCCTGTGTGTAGGAATGTGCTGCCAAATGGACAAAATCTTACTAAACTTAGTGCTGACAGTTCTCCGAAATCAACAGTGAACTCTCCTACTCATGCCACCCGAAGAAAGTTTGTGGGCGAAGGAAAGTTACTAAAGGTTGGTTCTGTGGTTCAGCTCATATTTGCATCAATAGATAACAGTTAATATATCTGGTATTTTCTCTGTATATACTATAGATGCTGATTTGATTAAGTGGCTTAATCTAAAGTATGGGTGCCAATACTGGATGCCTTTTCTTTTTCCTTCGTTTCTTTTCAGGCTGTAGTGATATTCATTTATGCAGATTGTTAACATCAAAACTTGCAATCTTCAATCAAGCATTGATCATGGAGATCCTTTTATTATGGGAATGACACTTTATTAACATTATTGGACATCAATTTTGTTTCCATCTAATAATTGAGAAATTAACTTTACAGGCGCTTGAGTTTACTTAATTTTATGCATTCCTTCAGCATCTCAGCTCAGCTATAGCATATTGTTTACTTTGCATTCTGGTCTTTTGCAGATTTTTACTGGATGCTATGCATTATAAGATGAATTATTAAATATGCTTGGCAATTATGATGTGAACTAATTTGCCATTTATTCCATTGAGTAATGGAGTATTTTGAAGGGTGTCTTGCATGAATATGATCAAACATAGAGTGAATTGAGTGCTGGACTTTTCCAGACTATTTGACATTATATTCTCTCATTTTTGGTCATTCATTTTCTTTCCCTAAATATATATGGTTCCAGATTTCAGGTAGATTATTTTCTGATTCTGGTCCTCGACGTAGTTCAAGACTCTCCAGCGAATCAAGTATAAATGCAAATGCGAATGTAACAGTTGTATCTGGAAATGGAATGAATAACTCTTATAAAGGTGGATCAAAGCTTAGCCCTACAACATTTCGTGCGATGACAGTTCGTAGAGGACAATCATGGGCCAATGAAAACATTGATGAAGGTGATGTATCTTTATGTATCTCAGTCTCACTACTCTATTGTTGTATCAGTTTATTCTTTTATATGGAAACATTTCCCTTTGTAGAACTAGAAAATTTTGTTACAATGTTAGTTAAACCACTTGCAAATTTTCTCTTCACTGTTCTTCATAAAGATATTATTAGAAGGAAATTTATATCATTGATGGTCTTGCTGGCACCTTTAATGTCTGTTTATTCAAATTGGTGATGTCAATTAGAAATATAAATCTATTGCTAGGTTTCTCTATTGACCTAAAGATTTTGCATATCCATTTTGATAATGGTTTATTTATTTTCTTATGGTGAGTATTTTCTAATTTGTTTCTTGTTTCAAATACTTAATCATTTTCCATTTCTTTAATTTTAGGGATTCGTAGCATTTCAGATGATTATCATTTAAATAATACATCAATGACTTCAAGTTCATCTCCATTCACTGAAGTTAAATGTGAACGAGGAGAAACTTTTCAAATTGGCAGGCAAGTGATAAGTGGTTCTAAGGTCATCGTCGGTGCTTCAGAAATATTATCCCTTTTAAGAGTTCTTGGTGAAGGCTTTAGACTAGCCTGCTTGTACAAATGCCAGGTATTAATTAAATATTTCTGGGGAAAATCCAAATAACAATTATATCGTTATATTTTAATGTATTGTCATTAAGGATTTGAAAATGGAAAAAATGGGAGAAAATACCTTGTCCCCAATTGCATTTTGTTTCCTAATATCTGTTTATGGTGGAGCAGGATGCATTGGATACCTATCTGAAACTTCCACAGAGGCACTATAACACTGGCTGGGTTCTCTCCCAGGTAATTTTGGTGGCTCAGCTTGCTTTTTCTGGTCTTTCATTGGAATTCATCGTACATTAGCATTGATTTAGAGATATACTACATTCAGGTTTATGATGTTATATCCAATATTTTGTTGTCTGCACCTAGAAATCATGTTCTCTATTGGAATCAATTTTTTTCCACTTTGTTTGAAGGATATCTTATTTGTCCCTTAGTTGCACTTATCCATTTTCTCAAATATTATTTATCATGAGATCCTTTTGATAATTTCTTTCAAAGTCCTTTGGCCTTCCTCTACTCCTCTTCTCTAGGTTAAAAAACATATGGCCTATTCTACTTATTGGTGCCTCCAATGACCTTTACAGTTATTCAAACTGTCTTATTTTGCCATCTTCTCAATAGGTCCCACACCAATATCTTTTCGTTTACAATTATTTTGTATCTTGTGTTCTTTTAAATTCCAACAATCACTAGCAATTTGCGGTCACAAATTATCTTTGATGCCTTTCCCAAATTCAGTTACCAACTTGTATTATGTGTTTAACATTTTCATTAATTTTCTGATCATTTTGTAAAATTGATTTTAGATATTCAAACTTAGAAACTTGTGGGATGACGTATTTTCCAATTTTTACATTTGAAAGTCTTTAGATTCAAATGTTTGTCTTTGATGTTCAAGTTTAGAGTTAATCTGTTACCTTGATTCTTCAATTAGAACTAAATCATTTGTAAATAGCATGCATTTAGGGGTAACTTTTGTATACCCTTGGTAAGCATGTCTAGGTCCAAATTAAACAAGTAAGTACTCAAGGCTGAGACTTGATGTAAGCTTATCTTTATAGGAATATTCACAATTCTGTTCATGAGTTTTGTGCAGACTTGAATTCATTGGGTTATACCTTCTAGTAGCTGATCAGTCAATCTATAGTTCTCATAGTCAAAATTGCCTCAGTTGTATTGATTTGTAATTGCTTCGCTTCCAAAAGTTTATGCTGAAACACTGAACAAGTGGGATGTCAATTTTTTTATATATCCAACATCATACTATCACTATACTATTCATTCTTAACCTTTTTTGGCTAAATGAATGGCTCTAAGCACATTTTGTTGATTATGAGTCCTTACTTTTCTTATAGTTTGAAATCTTGGTTAATTGGGACAATTAGCAATTTAGATTGTTACACAAACTCCAATGATTCTTTGTTAAGATGTCCTACATTGGTTGGGAATAGAGGCAAAATACTCCTTATTAGGTTTGAATAAACCTCTTTTTTCTAGTTAGTTAGCTTTTGAGAGTGAGTTAAACTCATTTTTCTAAATGGTATCAAAGCTTATCCAATATGAATGTTGAGCTGCCAACAAATGTATAATCCTATTGGGTTATTTGTAGATGTCCAGACTTACGTGTGAGAGAGGTGTGTTAAGATATTCCAAATCGGTCAGGAATAGAGGTAGAAAATTCCTTATAAAGCTTTAGCAAAGTTAATGGAAATTTGAGAAAAGTCAATTTTTGCTAAAATGTCACACAAAGTAATAGCATGATGTGTGATGCCAACCTGGCCTTTGAACATGCCTTTGCCTCCAACATCAAGGACTGTCCCGAGTAGCTGCATAAACCTGACATAGTGATAAGCTTTATATTGACTGGTAAGGACTCAACATTGGTGGTGCTAACATGGTGTTTCTGGTGATTGGGAAAGAAACTGCGGGTAGAGGAGGTGTTGAAGGAGATCAGCAAAAAATTGGAGGCTTCAGTTTATGATGAAGTGAAGGTGTGAGAGTATAAGGTTGTGTTCCCATTGGGATGAGGACATTCATGCCCCAATTTTTGTTATGTGGTGTTGGTTCTTGGATCTAGGTCTATGAATGAAACATTTTGTGCCTAAGGGCTGGGATCAGACCTTGGCTTTTTGCTTAGACCCTCTATTTTGCCTTCATTGGGTATGAATTTGATCACTAGGTGCTTGAATAGCTTCAAAGGCGTTCAAAGTAGGACAACCTAGGATTGCAGTGTAAGAGCTATTATTGAAAACTTTGCCCTAACTATTTTAGAGGCTTTTCATGCCCCAAAGTGGTGTGTCTTGTATTTCCTTGGCTCCACCCTGTCATCAGTGAATGCGATGAGACTCCTGTTGTGGGAGATAAGGTTGACGTTTGAAAAATCTGTCTTTTTAAAGGTGTCATAGAAATGTATGTCGGTGGAGCTGCCCTAGATCCACAAAATGTGGTTGTCGTTGGCATTAGCAATGACAGTTCAAGCGACAAAAGTGTCGTTATGGTCTGGGATAGTATTTTCAAAATTGTTGTTAGTGAAGGTGATTTTGAGACATGTGGTTCCATTGGTCTTGTATTACTTTTAGACTTGACGCTCATCACTTTCCTCTAGTATCTCTTTTGAGAATTGGAAGAAGGACCACTCCTTGTGAATCTACCAACAGTCATGTTTATGATAATGTACAGGGGAGCTTTGTGCCCTATTTCGCTCCTCCGCTTCTTTGCTTTTGATGATTGAGCACAATTGTTTGCTAGGGGTTGTAAAGCTCCTCTCATTGCAGGTACTTCTGAAGATGCCCGACATGGATCGATTCTTCAATTGTGTCTTTCAGCTAGATGCACTTATTGGTGGTATGTTTGAACTCATCATGAAAATTGGAATACTTGGAATGGTCCTTTTGATTGCATTTGTTAATTGGGGTTGATTGAGGCATGGACACAAATTCGACTTGCATGACATAATGATAGATTCTGTTGGGGGTGGTGTTTAATGGAGCATATTGGTCAAAGTGTCCCTTCAGAAGCTTTTGTGGGTTGTTGCTTGGGCTGGCCTTGAGGGTTCTACAACGGAGTTGGGCCAATCCATGGTACCTTCGGTAGTCTCATCCTCCAATATCTAATCCAATGTGGAACAGTTCTTTCCATACAAATATGTGCCTAGGCCAATCATCCAATCTTTTTAGAATTTTAGTTTGAGCTTGTACTTAAAGTTTGAGTCTCTTCCTAAGGTCTTGTTTTTTGATACCATATTAGAATTTTAGTATGAGCTCGATCTAAGAGAGTGAGAAGTGTATGAGCTTAAATTTGAATGACCTGTTTTTCTAAAATGTCTTAAGTAATTTAGAATCATGATCTTCTTTCTTATATTCCATGTTATTTGTTGCTAACCCATCAATGTGGGACTTTAGTATCTCAACAAATATGATCTTTCTTCATATTCTGTGTTAGTGCTGTTGTTTGAATGTCTTCACATTTGGTGGATTGAACATTCGCAGGTTCAAAGTGACAGATTACAATAGTTCTAGGCTGAGTGGAACTTGCAACACGTTCCTGAACTATAAGTCTTTTTTTTCATGCAAATTCCTTCAACAAATATCCATTTTTCATCCAAGTTATCCATTTTCTTCATATTCTCTTTGAATGCTAGAATTGGATCTTTGCACTTAATTGTTAGACTTACTAATCTGGTCCACATTCTTCTCCACTTCCATCATTCGTAAGTCCATTCGCATAATGGGCATCTAGAAGGTTAGACCAAATTGTTGGACTCAAAATTGAATGCACAAATAGTTATGTTTTTACTAGAATAATCTGGTCTACAAACCAGATTTGAAGAACAATTCATCAACTACATTGGGCTTCCTCCTAACAATGAGTGTCCTTCAAAACACAACAAACAATTGTGGTGTTCTACTCATTATAAGGTTCTCTATTTAAATATTCTCCCAAGCCAACAGTGGTATTAGAGCTAGGTCAATCTAGGTAATCGGCTCAGACGAGTGGATGGGTCGTAGGAAAGAGAACCGACGGTGTGGTACCCATGGTCAATGTGAAATTGCACCGTAGAGGAAATGGTGACACTAGATGAGCCCTAGCAGAGAGTTAGTGGCACCCATGTGTGGAGCTCAAAAAGTGTCGTTGAGTGGACGACATCCTACGTGAGGGAAATGTTAGAATCAAGCGTGAATTGAGTTCCACATGGAATGAGATATGAACAAGTTAGGGGTTTATAAAGAGATAGATCCATGTACCTATTGTCTTAAGATTTTAGAGTTGCATTGTGGTGTCGTACTCATTATAAGGTTTCCTTCTTAAATATTCACCCAACCCAATAACGACAAAATTATAATTTAATTGCCTCCTATAGGTCAATTACATCATAACTGTGGCACCATAGAACGTAACTTCGTAATACAAAATAACAACTGTTTAATTAACTTAATTATAGAAGGCTTAATAGAACTTGTCTTCTCAAACTTCCCTCAGTTTTCATATTTTAAAATTTCTAGAGGATTTAATTTACTTATATGAGTAATTTGATCAAATTTGGTACGAAGATTTTATACTGCAAAGTTGGTTTTTTTTTTTTTTTTTTTTTGTGAGACATTGAATTGTTTGACAATTCTTGTGTGGGAGATTCTTATAGGCGCATCACTCTAACTATTTGTCATGTTACTTGAACATGTTTTAATGCAGGTTGGAAAAGCATACTTTGAACAAGTTGATTATTTAGAAGCTGATCGTGCCTTTAATCTTGCTCGTCAGATTTCACCTTATAGTTTGGAAGGAATGGATATATACTCGACTGTCCTTTATGTGAGTTAACTGTTTTTTTCCCGTAATCTGTGTAGGGATCTCTTTCTAATTAGATACCTAGTTTCTATCAACTAGTATCAAAGCTCCAATAAAGCTATGGGTATTAAAGTTTGAAGATGAATCCAAAATTTGAAGAAGCATTTTGTTGGCTTATTAAATGTGGAGCAGCATTTTGAGGCCACAAGAATAAACAAGGAAGAAAAGATACATAGGATTGGGTAGCCTGTGTGAAAATGTGATTTCATTTGGTAGGTTGTATGGAAAGGGAACCATCCAAGTGCATCATGGTGGGATTTTGTTAAGGCTTTGCTCAAAGAGTTTTAGCCAGAATTGGATCAAGATCAACTAGTGTGGGTCCAAGATGAGAAGCAAGAATTTTGGGTGCTGGAAAATAGAAGAGAAGATGAAGGCCTTGAAATCAAAACCAGAGCTAAGTGAGGGGAAATGAAACATGATGTGGAAGCAGAGAACAATGGGAAATTAGAACCAGTGGTGAGATGAAGAATCGAAGTCCTAGGAGCAAGCAAATATAGGGGTAGATGATGCTTTGAAGATCAAGAGCTAGAGATACAGTGAAGGAGGAAAAAAAGAGAATAGTAAAGCAAGAACAATAAAAGAAACAAAAATCAAATTGTCCATGGTGGAGGTAGAAGTGGATTGGTCTGGTCTGTGGTACAGGTGAAAAAAAGGAAAGCAAAATAGGGGAAGTGGGTCTGGAAGGTCATTCAATAGGTATCCAAATAGAGGGAAAATGAATAGAAAAAGAATTGTGTTTATGAAAGAAAAGAACAGAGCTAAATGGTTACAACCATGTAGCATGGATTTGTAGGCAAATCAGTTGGCCTACAACCATCAACAAAGCCCTTGATTTTGTTTCAGTTGCAAAAAAAACGCGTGGGGGGGGGGGGGTGGAGGTCATTAGTTGCAACAGAGCTCCCACTGCACGAGCTATGTAACTCAAATTCTTCTAGAGTGGATGGGTCATTCTTTGAGATCATGCCTACTGGCTATGCTATCACCACTAGAATCTGGAGAACCATTGAACTGTTATCTTTGTATGGTGGGTAAAAAGAGGTGCAAATGGGTGCTTGCATAACAACAATGTGGAAAATTAGATAAATTTATTTGTGGATGGGAGGGGAGGAAGACGAGACAAAGAAAGGGATAACTCTTCCATGACTACATTCAATTGGGAACTCCTCCTATTTCTATTTCTCCATATGCACATTTAATGAGGCCTAGTACATGTCTACGTACTATTTATGTAAAAGGATTCCTTTTTTGATTGTTGTCATTTACAAAACTACAAAGGAATCTTAGCTATCTTCTTCCACTTAAGTTCAAAATTTTAAATGATTACTTGCATGTTTACTGCTTGACTAACAAATAATTTATCTTTGGTGCAGCATATAAAGGAAGATATGAAGCTAAGTTACTTGGCACAGGAACTAATTTCAACTGATCGATTAGCTCCTCAATCTTGGTAGTTATATATTGAACTTTATTGTGATATTTTGGTGTACCAACTTTCAAATTTTCCAACTGAAGTTTCTTCTGGTCATTTTTATGCACACTACCTTTATTTTGTTAGATGGCTCAGAACTGTACCTTTTCTTGTATCTGTCTGTTGTGTGGGCAAGCCAAACTGTCCTTAGTTTGCAAAATGCACATGTAACTTCTTTATTTTTTGGTTAATTGGGGCTTATTTTTTTGTAAAGCTTTTTCATAATTGTTAGATGACATATTTAACACTATTAGAATTTGTATTACTAAATAGTTGCTAGCATAAATTAGGGATTTGATTGTTTCATTTATATTTATGACTAATTTTCTTTGTGCCTTAATATTTGAATTATAACTGTCTCATTTGTAAACTTACAATACACAACGTTTAGACAATTTTCTCCATTCCTCGTACTACCTAAGGAAATCATTGGAGCTGGGAGGTGGTGGCTGTAAACATTGTTGTGAAACTCTAGTTTTAATTCGTAAAATCATGAGTTTTAGAGTTGAGGTGCCCCAAATGAGTTGTATCAGATGTAAACTTGTGTCTCGTTAAACTTGGACAAACTTGATTGAACTCGCATAAACTAAGCTGCACTGCACATTGCATCAAAACCCAATCTTCCAACAAATCAAATACATAGAGATCAGTTGTGACTTTGTAAGAGAGAAGGTGCTTCTTGGAGAAATCAGGGAAAATTGTGACTGCACACTTCATCAAACACAGTCTTCCAAGAACAAATCAAATATGTAGAGATCAGTTGTGACTTTGTAAGAGAGAAGGTGCTTTTTGGAGAAGTAGAAAAAATTGTGATGTTTGCTAAGTCCTTTAGAGGCTCGTGTTTAATATATTTATAACAGGCTTGGATCATATGACATATATGCTGTAGCTTGAGGGGATTGTTAGATGGCATATTTCACACATGTTAGAATATGTAATTAGCAGTTACCGTAAATTAGGGATTTGATTGATTCATTTGTATTTATGGTTGATTCTATTTGTATCCTAACATGTGATTACTAATTATAAATAAGACTCGGGCACCTACAATATACAGCATTCAGATGTATTTTCTCTTGTAATAATCATGCTGATGATAATATTATCTTGCTCTTCAAGAACAAAGGAATGTGCTTGCAGAAAATTGAGAGCTCAAGCGTTGAAAGTTTCTGTTTACCCCCACTTTTTCCTGTATTTTGGCTGTTCTGTTTAGTTGTTATCACTAATCCTGGTTTATGTGTTCTGTTGAACACTATGGCAGGTGTGCCATGGGTAATTGCTACAGCCTGCAGAAAGATCACGAAACTGCACTGAAGAATTTTCAACGAGCTGTTCAACTGAATCCCAGATTTGCTTATGCTCACACCCTTTGTGGACATGAGTATGAAGATTAACATTTGTTTATGATGCACATGCACCCACACATGTTTTCAGCAACTTTTTATGCTCGTGTGATTCATTGTTCTTTGCAGGTATGTTGCTCTAGAAGATTTTGAAAATGGGATTAAGTGCTTCCAGAGTGCACTCAGGGTTGATTCAAGGCACTATAACGCATGGTATGGACTTGGAATGGTATATCTTCGCCAAGAAAAGTTTGAGTTCTCTGAACATCATTTTCGCATGGCTTTCCAGATCAACCCAAGATCTTCTGTTATATTGTCATACCTTGGAACTGCTTTGCATTATTTAAAGGTTAATAATCTCTTGCTACTGATTGTAGTAGTACATACTAGAATTGCATTTGTCTTTTGCTTTTGTTTTTGTATACAAGTTTCTGAAATTAAGCTTCTGTGATTTGTCAGAGAAGTGAGGAAGCATTGGCCATAATGGAGAAGGCTATTTTAGCTGATAAGAAAAATCCACTTCCCATGTATCAAAAGGCCAACATACTCATGAGCCTGGAAAATTTCGATGAGGCTTTGGATGTCCTGGATGAGCTTAAAGAGTGTGCTCCGCGAGAAAGTAGTGTTTATGCTTTGATGGGACATATCTATAGAAGACGTAGCATGCATGAGAGAGCAGTGTTTCATTATGGTATTGCTTTGGATTTGAAACCTTCTGCAACAGATGCTGCTGCTATTAAGGTGATTGGCTTATAATGGCGCTATAGAAATCCCTAAAGAAGTCCTTTAAATGTTAGGCCTAGTTTGGGTAAATTTCTAAGGAAGTCGTTATAAGTGAAGAAAATCAGTATAAAAATAGAATAAAACTCCTCTCATGAGTTAGAAATGACTTATCTCCTAAAATTTTTGAAAATTTAGATGAGAAAGCTTTTAAAAAATTAGAGAATCATAAGTTGATTTTAACCTGAAGAAATAGTGATTTGTTTTACTACTTAATTTTTTACTCCAATCAGTACTTATTGAGAAGTTTATCTGAATTTGAGCTTTATTTTTCCTTTGTGATTTGAAGCTTCTTATTCTTTTCAAAACAGGCTGCCATTGAGAAATTGCATGTACCCGATGAGTTAGAAGACAACTTGTAGCTCTATATGTGAAGTGCAAGATTTGAATCCTTGGTTATAAGGATTTGCTTTCGGCTAATTGTGTATAAAAGCCGCACAAACGCTTGAGGAGTATTCATTCAAAGAATCATTCCAATTTCCGGATCTCTAGAACTGACTTAAGTTTTGTAGGAAATTAGCATAGGGGAAGAGACATATGTAACCGAGGCACCGAGAAGCTCCTATACTTGTACAAATAGTTGTATAATATAAAGGAAAAATAGTTATCCATTCATATGTTCATAAATCATTTGCTTTTTGGTCTGTCAGCCCTGGTTAAAATCATTAGTCTCGAATTTCTCTTTTTTGTACTAGTTGGTATTTTTTGAATTTAACTTAATGATAATATTTGTTGAAAAAAGTGTTAGAGAATGTGCTAATAGTATTTTTTTTTTTTTACTATAAAAATTGAGAAGACAAAATTTAAGAGCAATATTTTAAGTATATTATGTGGTATTGTTTAATTAAATTTTTATCTTGATATGTATTGATTTCTAGTAATTGATGTTAAGCTTTTGAAATGAATCATAAGAGGAAAACAATTCTATCATAAAATGTTTTTGGAGAATTTAGGAGATCTTAAATGAATAAAAATAATGGTAAAAACTTTGAAGGATGTTGATCAAACCATGGGATGCAAAGGAGTATTTATACTATTGATGTGTGTATATATATATGGAGAAGGATCTTCTAAATCTTTTATAAGCTTATTTAATTTATATTTAATAAGTTATAATTTGTTATTTTATTGATCGTTAAATATAAATTAAATAAAAAATTTAGATTGAGTGTAAATTTTTTTAAATTTACACTAATATAAGAAAATTCTATCTCAATAAATGAAATTCATGTTATTTACAAATTTTTTTAGGTATTTCCATGTGATAATAAAATAGTTTTTCATAAAAAAAAATTATCTTAAATATTTTTTTTAATTTATCCAAAAATAACAATAAAAAATATAAAAAAGCACACCTAGAAACAATCACTACTACTTCCATTACCGTAAGAGAAATTGGTTTGGAATTTGGGCCAACAAGACCTGTCCCAATATATATAACATTTAACATAAATTTTTCTTCACTAAAATCTATACGCTCTCTCTCTCTCTCTCTATATATATATATATATATATATATATATATATATATATATATATATATTTTAGAATCTAGAAACCTTGCTTTGATTCCAAAAATTAATTTTCAAAAACATTTAAACTAATGTTAATTATACAATTTGTACTAGTTAAATAGACAAGTAATAGCAATATATGACCAAAATAAGGTGGAGAAGATAAGAAACAAACATTTCTTAAGTACCGGAAATCTAGAAATTTCTTTTGCAAAAGGGCATGCAAATGCACCACTTTTGCGGATAGAATGGTGGGAAATGGGGCAATGCCTTATTCATGTCAGTCCCAACAAAAAGCCAGACTTGTATAAAAAGGATAATTTGATTGATCATAAGTCAAAGCAAATGATGGTAAGGAAAATTTATGATGATGACCCGATGATGCGAGGGAGAAGGGTGTGAAGATTTTTATTGTCTTTAACGGTATATTAGTATAAATATTACAAATTTTTTAAAATGATAGTGTTAATAAAAACACAATTTTTATATCATATTTAAAGACATACAATAATATATGTCACATGATTCAATACATGAGTATACATTACATGCTACGCATATTAATAAAAAAATTATTATTTTTATTGTATGTTTTTGATACATGTTAAAAAAACCAATAATAAAGATAATGATGTAAATAGTAACCTTTTTTTCGTCAACGTTTGAATAGTAATTTCCTAATAATAAATTTGACCAAACGTTTGGGCCATAAACTTGACCCAATAGTTGATCCAATGTTTGGGCCATAAACTTGACCCAATAGTTGATCCAATGTTTGGGCCATATCATGACTCGTAAGTTTGACCCGACACAGACAGGTATGAATAAAAATCTCGGTGGTTTTCATCCTCATTTCGAAAATTCAATTTGCATTTCCCGCCAAACGCTCTCTCTGCGCTCTGAAGTGCCACGGAAGCCGAAAAAGAACACTTTCAACTTCTTCATCAATCTCACGGTCTCTCTCTCACGCACTCTCTTTCTCTTACAGTTTCGATTTGGAATATTTTAGCTCACTAAAAAGACGATTATAATTCTACATTTCTCTCATTACTTTACGAATTGAATAATTCCGACAATAACTTCCGCACTAGGGTTTTGCTCAGTGTTTTTTTTTTTTTTTGTTAATTTTAGTTTCTATTTTCGAATCTTATTACAGTCCGGTTCAAGGTATGGAACGAGTGGTGGTAACGGTGAGTGGCTACCATGGCTCCGAGCGATTCAATCTCATCAAGCTGATTTCTCACGCAGGCGCCAATTACGTTGGCGCCATGTCCAAATCCATCACGCACCTGGTGAGGTTTGTTTTAAGACGGTGAATTGTGTTAAGGTTTGTTTGTTTAGTGAGATATGTTTTCTGTTTCTCGTTAGTGGAAGGGAATTTTTTATTGTTGTTTGTTTTTGGGGTTTGAGTGATCAGGTATGTTGGAAATTTGAAGGAAAGAAATATGATATTGCTCGGAAGTTTGGAATGCATGTAGTTAACCACCGATGGATTGAAGACTGCATAAAAGAGGGAAGGCGTGTCCTAGAAGATACTTATACCTGGCAAAGGTGAATTATTATTATTATTATTATTATTATTATTATTATTATTATTATTATTATTATTATTATTATTATTATTATTTATTTTTATTTTTTTCACTTCCTTGTTGCCGAGCTATATTTATAGAGTTGTGGCTATTTGAAAGAAAATTAAAACATGGTGATAAATTGCTTTTTTATTAAGCATCCAATATCATACTTGACGAATTAAAAATTTAAAGTAACTGTCGATAACGAGTGAACTGATCAATTTTGAGGGTAGTTGATCTTAGGTTCACTGATTATAACATATTATTTTCAGTGGTCATGAAGTAGGGCCGTTGTTGCTGGAAGTTCCACTCATTGTTCGAGCAAGTAGCTTGACAAAGAATAAAGTGGTTAGTGACAGGTTACATGATACTGGGTCTGAAAAGCGAGAAAACAACTTCAGTCCTGGAGCTTCTGGAACTTCTGTTTCGGAAGATTCTTGTTTAATGAAAAGGGTAACAATAGGCTCTCTGTTATCCTCTTGGTTGCTTTCAACTTTTATAATGTACGTTCTAAGTGTTTCCAAGCAAGTTCTGATTCTTCAAGTATGCTGCTTCCTTTTATGAATTGGGCTCTACTTTCATAAAATGATATGCGGTGCCATTAACATCCCTTTTAACTGCTGATGCTTGACCATTAACTCAAGTTAATTGTTATTTACACACCATAGGTGTTCTATTTAAATCTATATGTATTTCTTGTGGTAAATAATTAAAGAACTTCTGGGTAGTTACCACAGATGGTTTTGTAGCGGAGGAATGGGACTGTTTTCTCCTATCGCTCGCTCTGATTTATCTTTGTAGTTGCATAAATTGTGACCTTCCTGATGTTTTGGCATCAAAGGATTATTTTGAAATTTGTAGCTAATATCATGTGAGGTCCAGCACATTTTCAATTTCGGTGCCCCCTTTTTTTGACTTCATAAACAATTAATAATATTTTATTAAATGAATAGTAACTTTATTTGGCTATAAATAGCCGTGAAATGAAATTGAAGGAAGCACAAGCAGCAACACACACAAGATTTCATCAAGCATTGTGAGTGTTTGTGAGAGAAAAAAAAAATAGAGTGTTGAGTAAATCCTAAGAGTGTGAGAAAAATACACTGGGGTGGATATCATCTCTATTTCTTCTTGGTATTACAAAATTTGTAATATTTGAATAGGAGTGGGTCTCACTGTGTACACTATATTTTACACCTCTTGTGTGATAGAGTGTTGAAAGGATATTGTAAATATCCTGAGATATAGTGGAATATTTTTCGGAGTTTGTCCCGTGGTTTTTCCTCCACATTGGAGGTTTTTCCACGTTAAATAGTGGTGTTCTTTATCTGCTTATTTTATTCAGTTAAAAATAATTCTTAGTATGCTCTGTGGTTGCAGTTTAGTCTGATCTTCCACATCAGAAAAGAATTATTTTTGTTATCCTTCCGTGGCTGATTGTTGGATTGCTGGAGAAGTGTATATTTGTATTAGTGTTGTAACTGGAAAGATTCTGGCTAAGGAAAGACCTGGTATTTAAGTGATCCGTTGTGATCCACCTCTCTTTCCTGGGAAGTATTTCAGTGCACACTTTACAAGTTACACCGCTGCGCTGCTAGATCTATTTATTAGGTCTGAATTATTGCTCGCCAGTTTACGTCAGAATTTTAATTTACACGTCCAAGTTATTCCGCATTTGAGCTCAACATATCACTCATCTGTCCACAAACATGAACAAATCTGTCTGCTGTATGCGACATACGTAGTCTGTTTACTGTGAAGTGCTTTAGAGAAAAAAATGCGTCTTATTCTTGCCATAATATGGAGATTAGGGATTACTTTGTCTTAACAGGTAATTTAACATATGTAGCAATATAAACTAGCTGGTTATCTAAATGAACTCTTTTCAAGGTGTCTCTTATTTCGTTTACTCATTCCTGGTGCTTTGAAGTACTTGCATATGCTAAACTCTTGAATATAGCGTTTTGGTTAAATGCATTGCATGTGCTTCTAGGTATACAATTATAAAATGAAAGTAAAGATTGTTTCTAGCTTATCTATAATTCTATATATGGCCTTTGAAATCCTTTTGATGCACTATGTTATATTGGTTAGCCCAAGTAATTGAATAATGATATAAGTTTCTGCTTTTTTTTTTTATGGAATGCTTGTGAACATTTTTAATCTTTATTTCCCATTTTTTAAGCATGAGGAGTCAAGTTCGTATTCAGCTAGATTGTCAAGGAAAGGAAAAAGAAATATTTGCAACATTAATGGAGTTAGTAGTGTGGCTGGACCTTCTCGTAAAGGAAGAAGACTTGCAACAAATTTTGTTGATGAAGTGGTGTTGGATCCTCCAAATTTGGATTTAAGCCCAGAGGACCACCTTTTTAGAATGGATAGACTACACACTAATGCTGCAGCTACCTCTAGCCTTTCTGGTGGTGTCAATAGTAACAATATTCTTGAAAATAGTCAAGGACCCGTTGCTAGATTAAGTAATGGAAGTGAAACTATCAACGGAGGTTCAGATAATATTGAACAGTTCAAAGATTTAAGTCATATGTCTGCGGTATCTACGAATAGACATTCAACTTTTATTGTAGAAGATCCCCTACCTGAGGCAGAAACATCAATAGATTTATGTTCCGGTGATGATGAAAAGTTCACAGATGGTGATCAGGTTGATAGTGTTGCTCGCTTACCTACTTCAACAGAGATGTCATGCGTTATATGTTTCACAGATTTTAGCTCAACAAGGGGAATTCTGCCATGTGGTCATCGATTTTGTTTTCCATGCATCCAGAGTTGGGTTCATCATAGGGTATGCCTTTAAGCTTTCATTCATTAAATATTTATTTCGCTTCTGATTTCTCACAGGGAATTTGAGGCGTCACCCAATTGGCATTGCTGAGACTTATTTTCTTAGTGAAACCTTAAAGCTTTAGGTGTATTCTTTAATTTAATGTCATGAGTGTTTCTTTCGTTCTCATAATGCTTTTCAATATTTATAGACTGCTATGGGAAAAATATCAACCTGCCCTTTGTGCAAGGCAAGTTTTGTGATGATTAAGAAAGTTGAGCATGCAGTAACCACTGATCAAAAAGTGTACTCCCAGACAATCCCATGGGACAATTCAGCCTCAGATATTTTTCTCCCCATGGATCCTGAATTATCAGATAATATCTTTGAGGTAAGCTTATCCATTAAAATATGTTAGTTGTAATGCTACGTAGGGTAAGGCTAATTACATTACATTCTAATAGTACTAGTCTCTTGCTAGGTCCTTGCAGTAATTTATTGAGGCAATTTGTGCTTAAAACTATTAAGAGACTATTAAAAAGAGAAAAATAGAGAAAAGGGAAAAAAGTGGCAAAGGGCAGGCTATGAAGTAGGAAAGGTGTTGGTTTAAGAGGTAAAATTTAGAATAAGTGCTTGCTAACTTGGTTATTACACAGTACAGTTTTGGCATGTTTATATTCCAGACAATTTAAAAAATATTGAGTGGTATCTGGTATGTCACTGTACTTCTGAATTACCGAAAGCCTATCAGATTGATCTTGTAGAATTTAATGACATATATATCTTGCAGTTTAATTGGTTGGCATCGTCTATTTTACTAGGAAGTAGGAGCGCTTTTAGTTTAGCCTGTTTTTTCGCCCCTACATTTAGACCATTTTAATAGATTTGCCTTGGCTATTAAGTGTTATTGTTTGAGTAATAAACGAATATTTTCACTGGGAGCCTTATGATATCTTGGGCAGGATTTGGTAATGTAGTATCTCTGTTTAATAATTCTTGCTGAATTTTGCCACTATTAGGTAAACTACGAGTCATATGATCCGTGAATATGTTGATATTGCACCTATAAAATCCAAATAAAATATAAAAAATATCTGAAATGGCATTATTAATAGGTTGCTTTTATTGTTCTATGAATTGCCATTTTTGTGATAATTCCCCTAAATTTGCATCTATATTAGATTGGTTTGCTTCCTATATTTTCTTAGACGTTGTACTTTTGACAACATATTCATATAGTTCATTGTTGTCCACATTTGGACTCGGAAGTTTATACTCATTTTAATATGATTAGTGACACTTTGTGGTTTGCCTTTTGCTTATACAGTCCCCACAAGCTGGCGCTTGTGTAGTTTGCCTTGGTAGGGAACCTGAGGATCTCCTCGAGTGTTGTGACGTTTGCCGGACTCGAAGGATCCATTCCTATTGCATGGACCCTCCTTTACGGCCGTGGACATGCAGTCACTGCAAGGAACTTCGGATGCTGTATCGTAATCACTCCTATTAGTATGCATCTTTTTATCAGAGTTAAATGCTGTGATGAAATTCGTTGTGAGTGAGGGACCTTTTTCTCATGCCGTAAATCTAAAGCGAAACTAGCCAGTGCATTGTGGGGTGGCTTAATTCTCAACATTTGTTCGATTGTGTTTTGAGTTTTTAAAAATAAAGTGATTATGCAATATAATTTTTTTTTTTTCTGTTTATTGTTGTCCAGAATATATTTTTAATTTGAGAATGCTATAATAATTGAGGTTTATGTTTTTTTAAAACTACATTAACATTATGACTTTCTTAAGCATATCTTAAATTAAAAAGAAAAAGAAAACTATTACTCAAGAACTTGAAACAGATCCTCAATTTGGTTTGATTCGGATATCCATTTTGGAGTAATCCATTCTCCGATTCAGGATGACATGAGCTGAAAGAGTTCCACTGCATTTCACTGTAGGATTCTAATAATAATGTCCTATTGGAAATGCATGATTAGGAAGGATTCTAATAATTATGTCCAATTGGAAGTGCCGACCATGGAACAAGCACATGGCATATTTATTCCTTGTGTGCATTGTACAGAAATTATCATATCTATCAAATAACTTTCTCTTTCAAAATGCAATGAATCAAATATCTTAAAATCCCTGTAAACCGGGGCAATTTGTAAATGCCACTATACGAATAATATATGATGTTGAATATTTATGGTACATAATCACGTCAAATCTTTCCGAGAGGTTAAGGAATGTAAAGAAATCGTTCTAATATCGCCATTGGATGTGAATACTTTGTTTTGTTACATATAAAGCTGATGGATTATGTTGGATTGCTCATCACTTGCGCATTATGAAGTCGGAGCAATCTGATTATTTTTGTGATCGTATTGAATCCGCAAGATTCATTGTATCAAATGTTGTGTTATTCTTTTATTATGATCCAACCAAAGAAATTTTCAAGGTTTCATGAACCTGCTGGCTGGCTGGGTCCCTGGCCCCCACTCTCCGGAAAGAACATTATTGAGTTTCCTTTTCATGACTCCTGTCCTATTGAACATACAGTAATGATATTTATGCAAAGTAAAAAAAAAAAATCTGTAGTCCCACACTCACATTTTATCACAATAATTCCTTTCTTATCTTCTTTTTTTTCTATCTAAATCACCTTTATCTCATATCAATGCTTCATTTTATCTATGAGGTTTTTGGGGGATGTTAGATCTGTGTAAGATATAGATTACCGTTCTGTATATTCTTTCTGCTGTCTCCTATCAGTGTTTTTGTGTCGGATTAATTGTTGATTGTTTTGCTTTCAACGTGCTTTGTTTTTGTCGCTTTCAGGTTGTTTATGTGGCCCTCCGAGAAAGAAAATAAAGGAGCGGGCACAAATGCTCAATCTAGGATGATCTCCTCGGTTTTCGGCTTTGCCTTCTTGGCTTTCCTTCAGGTTTTAGGTAGTACTACATCTTTGAGCATTTTTGTCTCCAACAAAAGAAGAGTTATATACTTTTTTTTCACTTTAAATTCATAAACGTGTTTGTAGATCTTAATATACAATAATTATTTGAATAAATATGTTTCCTTTAGTTCAATCCTATTAATTTATTGTACAATTGTGATTTAAAAAGTTATCAGTTGAGTATAAATACATGAATGAAGTAGAAATAATGCCAAGTTTGGCATAAAGATGTAAATTTCGTTGCTTTTATGTGTGTTGTCGATCTGTTTAATAGAAAGTTTTATGTTTAAAGTTTGTTGTGTGTAATTTTTTTTAAAGTCAACGGAAATTATGAATTGTAAACAATAATTAGTCTAGGTTGTTTGGATCAAAAGACCCTACACGATCCCTGACTTTAAAAAAAAAGAAAAAATAAAAAAAATTGTCTTAATAAAATATCTTACATTCTTACACTTGTAGCCTATTTTAGTTATAACATCTATATTTTTTTAATATGTTTTTAAATAACCACTAATATGCTAACACACACATTTAATAATTCCTGTTCAATGATAATTTATTTGTAACTCATAACTTTAACTGAAAAGTTGAAAGAAATGATTCAAAATAGTTTATTTTTAATATTTAAAATAATTATTAAATAAATCTTAAAACTTCTTAAAAAGTATCATAAATTTTTTTTGTAAGCGTGATGTCAATTGAATAGTTAGTATTTTGGGGCGAGCATATTTTATAAGATTACATACAAACCCTCCAAATCTAAGGATCCAAAAGATATGATGTAGTGTCAGGGAATCTTTCCTGAATCCTAATACCATAACTTTTGGACAAATTGAGTTATTAATGAGATGTGGAGTGTGTACGAATCTGGGGTTGGTTTTCGAAGGAAACAATGCTGCGAAGTCGTTTTTCATTCAGAAGTGAGTTTGTGCCGTCTTTGAAGTTTCATTTTCATATGCAAACAATTCATTTTCATTCTTTGTCCTCTATTGTCAACCCCACTTCTCTTGTTTCACGTGCACCCATTTGCCAAATCAGTATTCTTTAACTTTATTCTGTCAATGACTAGGCCTTCCCCTGCACCGCCTGTTTACACCCTTAACCATATTTTAGCTTTACTACTTTACAGTTTATTATTATTTAATATTATAAAAATTCAAAAAAGCATTTAGCACCTGTTAAAACAACTAGGAGATTTATTAAATTAGCTTATTAGGATAACATAAAAAAGTTTATAAATAGTTTTGTTTTTATGAGCATTCAAATTTACAAAGAGTAAGCTTAATAAGATATATTGTTAAAATCTTAGTATGTTTATTTATCAATTAGAAATAAAATTGACATATTTTTAAAAAAATAATAAATATAGAAGATGATTAAAATGTGATTTAACCCAACCATTTGACTGCTGGCATTTTATTTTATGCCAAAAACATAGTTTCGATTATAAATTTTAAATTTTCAAATTTCCAATTTTTTTTTGTCTTAAATTAGTTATTTAAGTTACAAAATTAACATAATGTTTTTCTAGGCAAATTTTCTTAACATCATTACCAGGTTAATACCAGCCTCTAACATGATACCAGTAACATTTTGTTGTTTAAGATGATGGTTAATCTTAAAGAATATTAAGTTAATTTATAACTTAAAAAACTAAGTTAAACAATTATATAAAGAATAAATTTTGAAAACTAAAAGAAAAAAATAGGAAGCCAAATTATAGATAATTTAATTTTAATACATTGTCAATATAAATATTTTATATTGTCAATGAATCAAAATCCACCCTAAGTATGGCTTTTTAAAGTAATTATTATAAAAGATAACACCTCTTAATCATATGACATTTTACGGTTGGATAAATGTAATTTTTTGCACAATAAGTATATTCTAATAAAATTTAATTACTACTTTTGTCTGAATTATAACACATAATAACTTTCATTAAAAAAATATTTTTCAAAAAATATGAACAATTTTATCAAGTGAGTCAGTAAAAGTATACTTGACAAATATAAAAATTAATACTTTAATGGTTTAATTATATTTTTGGTTCATGTAATTTAGATTATGAGATTTTACTCCTTCAAATTTATTTTAAACCTAATTAAATCTCTTTATTTCCAAAAATCAAATAAATCTAATCATAACATCAGTTTTATTTACCTAAAATCTTCAAATTATCATTTTTTATTTAAAATATTCACGAACTAAATTAATTATATCATTTCAAATTAACTTCTGCTGAAACTCACCACCTCTGCCATTAGGCTAGCTTCTAAAGGACCCCCCCCTCTAGTTACATAACCAGACCTCTGGTTAACGAAGTTTAACAAAGCTTCTGATAGAATGGATATTCCATGGCAACATATTTGTATAAAAGGAATTTTTTTTTTTGTCAACGATATAGAAGTGAATGGCAACATGTTTTTTACTCTTCATATCCTAATCTTGTTTTCTATAATTTTTATTAGAATTTCATTGAATTTTTAACTTCTAAAATTTTAAAATTAATTTATATTCCAAATTCATCATAAATTTCAAATTATTTAGATAGAAAACAATAGTGTAAGAGTTTTAGAAAAAAAATGATAGAAACGAATTTAGATTATTTTAAAATTATAAAAATATATTTTATTTTTAAAAACTTAATAGACTAAAATTGCATGTAAGGAAATTAACAATACCAAAAATATAAGTATACCATAGTAGAATAATCTTCATTATTTCTTATGTTTATATTTTTACAAAGTACACTATTTTTAAAACACATTTTATGATTGACTGGTTATTATTTTTTAAATGAGATCAATTTACTAAGTAATTGATTTAACTTTTTTCAAAATGAATCAATCACAAAACTACGAAGAAGATGTTTAAAAGAGTATATTACAAATACTTTTTGTATAAATAATCTCTATATAAAATTGATAATTAAAATAAATTAAAATGATAAAAAAGTTAGTAATTAATTAAGAAGATAAGAATGTAAAAAATTTAAATAGAAGAAGTTTTTTTATATTAAAATTTCAAAATTTATCTAATATGTATTTCTAAAATAATTAGAAACATTAAAATTTTTTTTTATGTTTCTTCAATTAATATATTCAGCGTATTTATTAATAAGTCTAAAAAAGGGGGAATAATGATTAGTGATTTTTTAACAAAATTAGTATTTTTAACAAAACAATTATTAAAATATTTTTATAAGTTAAAGGACTGATATAAAAAAAAATAAAAAGTTAGAAAATAAAACTGAAACAAAATCAAAAGTTGAGGACTAATTTACTAATTTTTTTCTTTAAATAATTACTGGTATAATTATTATAATTTTAAATAAATTTTATTATTCATTAATTTATTATTATCCTTAAGCATTAGTTAAAATAAATTGATTTTAATGCACTATTAGTGTAAATTTTTGTTATATTATCAATTAATTAATAAAAATACAGTAGTTGTATTACTTTTAAATTAATTATTATAAAAATAAATGATTATCACCTATAGTATTAAATGATATTGTAAAAAATAGTGCTACTCCTACTCCTTTCGTTT